TTATGGTTCTTTAATATTTTTTGTTACCAAACAAATTTGTAGTATGTCTTTATAACAATAGATGGTGCTCTTGCCTCATGATTCAATTATGGTTGTTATGGTAACAAAATTTTCAAACGTGTGAGTTATGCGTTCTTTCTTTTTCGTTTTTTATTGCTTCAGTGCTTGGAGTGATGTGTGCATAAATGCAGTGTCATCACATAGACAGCATTTCTTCTATTTCAAAGTGTTGTGTAAAATAAATGATACAGTTTGCTTTGTTTTTGTGAACTTATTCTTAAACATTTTTGGTATGTGTGACCACAGAAGTGAATCAGCAAGCCGGATATCTGTGATTTATTTAAATTAGCTTCCAATTCGTTTCTGTTTGAGGTGGCGACATCGAAACCAGCAATGTGTTGGATTAATAATCTGCATAGTGCACTTTTGATTCGATTTGTGGATTATGGGTGTGTCATGGTGTAGTGTAGAAACCTCAGCATTGGGGTGAGTACATTCCAATTTCCCCCTCTTCTTTGCTAAAGTTAGTATAATATTTATTGTTATTCATAATGGCTGATTTGAAACCAGTTTTAACTAAAAAGAAAGTTCTAAATAACAACGTTTGAAGGCAAGGTAAATTCGAATCTGGAACAAGAACAAATTTTAGAGGTAAAATTGTTCGAAAGGAAACTAAATGCTTTTAACAGTGAACTTTGTTCTATCTTTGAGGAAATATTTTTGTTGTTTCCTGAAAGATTGTGATACATTCTTTATGGGACAACAAACAATACAAGAAACTTTAGATGAATTATGGATAACTATAAACAAAAAGTTAACAAGTAGTGTAGCAAAAGTAAATTCGTTTGATGTTCAATTACCAAAATTAGAACTTTCTTCGGCTGATCTTTGGAATATGGTAACAGGTAGTTTGGCGACATTTTGGAGGGGATAAAGGTTACTACCTAAGACTTTGGTAATAATGTGAGAAGCACTCAGTTCCGATTACGCATTATTTTGTGTGAGGGAAATGAGAGATCATGAGATATGTCATGTGACATTAATGGACGAATTACAGTTCTTTAATCGGAATAGGGGGTAAATTTGGAAAAATTATTTTGTGTTAAGCTTCATTGTGTGTTGCGTGAAATAGTGTTGATTAATTTTCGGATTGCATGGCGCTATGTAAAGTGGATTCTAAATTTTTAATACATAAAAATTAATAATAAGTTGACTACTGGATTTCGGATTTAGAAATTAGCAGTAGTACTGCAGCTGATTGGAACTCTTTCTGTAGGGAAGTGTGCTTGCCACATAATGAAGATGATTAGGTAAGTTAGTATTTTTAATCATTTGAGGATATTATTTTTATGCATTGTTTTAAATGTAAGGAGTAAATAAATTTAAATGGTATTATTGGAAAATTGTTATTAGCAATGATTTAGTTAGTAGTAATTAGGATTGTAATCTAATTTTTATTAATTTAATGTATGTGCTTATTTTAAGTAGTGTTTTTTAATTTAGTTATATTTTAATTTAATGATCGTGATTTTGTGAGTTATATGTTTGTAGTATTTTGGAATACGTTTGAGTATTTTCATGCATTTTCGTGAAATTTTTCTAATTTATGAGAAAAAAGCAGTATACATGGATAGAGAGAAGAGTGTGCGCAATGCCATTTTTGTGCAATTCTGGGATGTTCTTTTAAGTAAAAATAAGTCGACGTGTACATGTTTTAGTGATATTTTAATTAAATGATAGTTATTTTGTGAATTTTATGTTTGTAGGAATTTGGTATACGTTTCAGTTGAAGTAAACGTGTATGGAAATAATTTAAATATTTGACACTAAGTATTTGTAACTATTTTTAATGTTTGCGTATAAATTCGTTGCTGACGTTTATAATATAATAGATAATTTAGAGGTAAAAGTTTTTGGATATTTTATTTATTTTATACTTGGAAATGTTCATTCTTGGAAAGGGTATATCCTTTTTCGCGATCAGGTAATTTCATATATGTTCTTTTTACCGGACTTAAAGATTCGCAAAATCTTAATGCATTTTCGTGAAATTTTTCTAATTTATGAGAAAAAAGCAGTGTACATGGATATAGTGAAGAGTGTGCGCAATGCCATTTTTGTGCAATTCTGGGATTTTTTTTTAAGTAAAAAGAAGTCGACGTGTACATGGTTTAGTGATATTTTAATTAAATGATAGTTATTTTGTGAATTTTATGTTTGTAGGAATTTGGTATACGTTTCAGTTGAAGTAAACGTGTATGGAAATAATTTAAATATTTGACACTAAGTATTCGTAACTATTTTTAATGTTTGCGTATAAATTCGTTGGTGACGTTTATAATATAATAGATAATTTAGAGGTAAAAGCTTTTGGATATTTTATTTATTTTATATGTGGAAATGTTCATCCTTTGAAAGGGTATATACTTTTTTGTGATCAGGTAATTTCATATATGTGCTTTTTACCAAGTTTAAAGATTAAGAAAATTTTCCTGCATTTTCGTGCAAATTTTTGTAATTTATGAGAAAATAGCAGTGTAGATGGATAAAGTTAAGAGTGTGTGCAATGCCATTTTTGTGCAATTCTGGAATGTTTTTTTAAGTAAAAATAAGTCGACGTGTAAATGGTTTATGTGTATGTGCTATTCTGAAAAACGTGCAAGGAGTTTGCGATTGTGCACTTTTTCCCATAGACCTGTTATATACTAGACGGAGCATCGCCATTAAAAACCGGGTGAAAAAGCGGCACAGGAATGAGCTGCAGGAGTTTGGGCATGAAATGGAACTGAACCCAGACTTTGGCGTACTATCGCCATGGTTGGTGATTTTTCCCCCTCTTTTCTTTCAGTTCGAAATGCGAACTTGGAAAGATGTCATTTCGCATTGTCATTGCCGCTGAATTTGCAGAAGAGGTTAGATCGATAAATACCAGCCAAAATTAATAATTTCCCTAAAATTGGACGCTTTATTTTAAAATTTAAGCCAGACAAATAATCATACTAGCTTAGCAGCACAAAGGTAGACAAAGAGAAAAAAGACAAAAACAGAATGAGACGAAGCAGTGTGCAATAAATACAACATATCGGAAAAATGGTAATAGGAATAAATAATGTACAAATAAAATAAATATAAAAAAAGATTTTTTTCATTTAAAATAATAAATAAATAAAAAGTGATTTAGGCAAAGTATTAATACATACTAAAGATAGTGGATGAAAAATAAAATAATTAAAAAACTTAAAATAAATAAAATTCATATATATATATATACTTATTGTAATGCATAAACAAGGAGCAAAGATAATTTAAGAAATGATTTTGAATGAAAAAGAGATTAAAATAAAACAGGAAAATTATAAACCTAAAATGAAAAAAAATAAATAAAAAAGGTTTTTTTTTTTACATCCATATATTACATCCATATACGGAGCACAAAAGTACCATTTTTGAAGTCCGAAACAATGCGCGTACACGCAAAACACTTGCTTCTCACAAATTCTCCATAGAACTGTAATGGTAAGGAAGATCCGCGGGAAATATGATTTGGGAAATGTTCCAAATGTCACGTGGTTCCCATTCCTGTTCCCCTTCAGGGTTGCCGTTTCTCTCTCCAGTACATTACAGCTCTATGCTTTTTCCCAATTTTGCAGTTAATATTTGTCATGATTAGGCAGTTTTGTTACATAAAATTTCTATCATAAGTGTAATTCGACTAGTAGATTGTTGGAAAAAGTGTTGAGTAAATAAAAAGAAAAGAAATATGTCTTTACTTCGTGAAGACAAAATGGCCGCGAAAAAAAAAAGTAGAGTGTTGCTGTAGCAGAGTTGGTCGCCAAAAAATTGCAAGTTACCATAATCCAAAGATCAACCCTTTCTTCCTTTACAGAGGAAAATATAGAAGAATGGATTAGTTTTTATGATTCACACAATTACATTTTAAAATGCAAGTGACGTACATTATGAAATTTTTTATTTAAAGAAGTAAAAGAAATTCAATTAAAAGAGTCTTTAAAAAAATTAAGGGTAAAAGCTTACAATTGGATGCCCCTTGTTTTTTGGCGATTCTTTTTTGATAGCAAGATCGGTGCCAGGAAGCCACAATTTCAAAATACCAAAATAAGAAGTCAAAGAATTGCACAAACTTTGTGTCCATGTACATATCGATCTGTTCCCACTTAAAAAAACATCCTAGAATAGCACAAACTAGGCTTTGCACACTGCCTTAAATTTGTCCATGTACACATCAATCTATTTTTATTTAAATAAAATCAGGAAGCTAAAACAAAGTTAAAAACTATCATGGGAACCAGAAGTGAGGTTTCATCGCCAAAATTAAAAGAAAATTGTCGCTAATCGAAGGGGCTCCCAATTCTACACTAGAGCCAAACTGAGTTACCAAAAAATAATCTATTGTGGGTGAAAGTGTAGAATTACCCACTGCTTGGCACGATTTTAAGAATTGCACATACTCGGTATCCATGTACACGTCAACCTATTTTCATTAAAAAAAAATCCCAGAATTGCACAAAAATGGCATTGCGCATCGCCTTGACTTTATCCATGTACACATCAACCTATTTTCACTTAAAGAGTCAAGCAAAATTGACAAAAATCCAATTCTTCTTACTCTTGTAAAAAGTGCCAAATAAATAAGTGTGCGATTCTGCACTTTACCCCTATTGTGATTTAATATAATAATGTCTTCAGAAAACCATAACTGAAAATGTGCTGCTTTATTGATATTTAAATTTTAATTCAAAATCTACAATTCATTACATTTAAAATATCATTCTAATTACAAAAATCAATAAAACACTGCCTATTTAAAACTAAAGGAAGAATAAATTCAGATGAATTTAATATGATATGCTTAAATAATTCAGATTCGTTTTGTTTATCATTAATAAGATTATAGCAATTAAGACATTAATAAACATTTAATAAAAGAATAAATTAAAATCTGATGTACAATCAAATAAGAAAATCAAAGGTCTGTTTACATTTTGTTGGGACTGCTGTTGATCTGCGAAAGGATTATAGTCATCCAAACCTGTTTGGTTGACATTTGTTTGATTCGTCACTCTAGTAACAGCAGGATCCTAAAGAGAAAAAAATGCACTTTATTAAAAGATGCCTTTACGCATACTTGATGAAAAAAGCCTTGAAAGTAATATCTTTAAATTGGTACAATGAATGACTTCCGAGAATTGTCAGTATTTGATATCGCGCACAGACAGAAGGAAATAACTGGTTAAGTTGTTTTTCTTTCGTTCATACAAAAATTAGTTTGCATTTCACATATTTCCAAACTATAAATAAGCATACTTATTAAACAAATTAAACAGATTCTTTACATACAGTCAAGTTTACCTGTTAAGTAACAAATGATGAAAAAAACACAATCGTAAAATAATTATCAGAAAGAAAATTATATAAAAACTAATAATCTGAATTCGTTACATATAAATAATACTTACTGAAAAGGGGCTGCTAGCAAAAGGATCCGCGAAAGGATTAGCGTCAAAGCCTGACATATTTGTTATATTAATTTTAAGAAAAAAGTACAAGAATACCGATTCAGATTTTTATATATTATTGGGGACTTTGTTCCTGTCTAGTCCGATTATCGCTGTTTTCAGTGACTCACAAACGCACGAAATTTGATTTACACACTCATTATGAACATCTGCTATCACTTAGATTCAGCGCAATGCCTACAGACAAAAAGAAGTGTTGTATGCGCAAAATCTTTCACATTATCTTTCTCTCAACATACTTTGCTCTCTCACCCAATGATGCCCGATTGTTTTTTAAAAGGACAGTAAATAGTTAAATTTTAAAAACTGTTTAATAGAACGGTAAGAGGAGTTTAAATATTATAAATTCATCACTTTTTAATTCACATATAATACTCAGCATTATATTAAATAATTATTTTTTAACTTCCAACAATAAGCCCTCTTAATGAAAAAATGTGAGCGTATTCCATTTTTATTAAAAACTGTTCTATGTATATTAAATATTATAAATTTTTTTGCGTAAATTTTCCTGATGCATATCAGAAAATTTAATCTTGATAAAAAGTACATCTCAACTTATCCTTGTTGTTCATGTGTGACTTCGTAGAGATGAATTGATATGGCCCGGTGAAGTGTAAATTTTGCTTATCGGATGATTAATAGCAGTAAGCTTACGTTTTCAGTTTTCTTGCGTGAAATTACCGAATTTTTATAGTCTAAAAAACACAGAAAACAATCATAATGCTGGATAACTGTCTTAAACGTTTTCGGATAGAATTGTAGCCAACATATAGTTGACATATTTTAAATAGCCAACATGTAGTTGACATATTTTAATGTGCTAACATTTTCTTTTGGCTGCATTTTAAAAAAATCTATGATTATGAGTAATTAAAAAACTGTAGTTTTTTATTTATAGATTATTTTCGAAAGGGCAAAAAAGGATGCAAATTCAAGTTTTGTTTTAAGAATCTGATGGCAGGTGTATAAAACGCATTTCATGTTACTGATTTCGAAATTTAAAATCGTTTATCTCGTTCCTTATTAGTTCTTCTACAGACTGTGAAGTAAAACAATGTATGTAAAAAAAGAATTTTAAGAACTATAGGATTATACTGGAACTTTTATGCGTTAGAGTTACATTTCAAGGAGATATATTTGTAAGTCATAAAATCTCTGGTATATTATGCTTTTTCTATTGGATAATTTGAAAGCTGTGGCTGAAAATTTATCAGTAGTGAGAATTTATTGTGCTTCTTCAAGAGAGCCATAAATTAATTCTTCTGTATTTTCTTGGTCATCAAAATAGGTTAGAAAGATAAAGTTTGGTACTATTCCGTTACAGCATCATCAGTTAAAATGTGCCCCCCCTTTTTTTTGCCAACATTTGTTGCCAAGTTAACTTGGCAACAAATGTTGGCAATAATAATAGAGTTCAAAAGATTAAAAAAAAATTAGTTTTGTAAAAAATAAATTTTTCTTTTTATCTAGAATACTCTACAATAAATAAAAAATAAAACGAAATTCAATGTAAACAGATGGCATAAAGTTACAAGTATCATTCAGTATCATAGAAAAATGTTCAGTTTTTGAATGTAACTGACAGCACATAAATTCTATCAAATACAACTCTAAATGATCGCGAGCAGTGCCCTGCTGATGTTTATTTCTCAATTTAGCACTGTCCCACAATAGCTCCACAGTTTGGATATGGCATCCAGTTTTGGGGTCTATAAAATTATAATCGGGATTCAGTGAAATGTTCATATCCAGCATTTCTTAATTCTTTTTTTTTTTTTTTTTTTTTTTATATCCTTTCCAACAATCTGAAAATATAATGCTGCCATCTGCATTGCTTTTCTGGCATAAACTCCAAATACCCATTGTTCCAAAAGAACACGTCCTTGTTTTCTTCTTTTTGTAAAAGACTTTAAAGTAGCTATTCCAATCTATTGTTGTATTATGGCTGATTTCTAACTGAAGTTTGCAAAATTCAGTTGATGTCAATTCTTGATACCAGAGACAGATAAAATGCCATTGAGGAAAGGAAGATGCAAGTCTTCAAACCATGTTTTGGTTCTCAATCCTTTTTTTTTTTTTTTTTTTTTTTAACCACAGCAAGAACGTACATATCAACACCATATAGAAGCTTTGTTTGAGTCAAAAGTTGACTTCATCAAATGATTTTGATAACCGTCTTCTGGTATGAATTATTCCTTTGTCCTGAAAGAATCTTATGATAGCCATTTGGTCATTAGGTACACTGTACTAAAAATATGGCAAAAAAAAAAAAAAAAAAAAAAAAAAAAATAATGAGTGATGATATTTCAAATGAGAAATAGAAATTTTGAGCCATGATATTTCAAACGTTAAATTCTCAAGCCGCGATATTTGACGTGCTGTAGCATTCTTTTCTTCTAATTTTTTCTTCATTTTTAACTGATGCCGCTTTAATGGAATAGTACCAAAAGTTTTCATTTTTGTGGCATTTAAATTTACAAATTTCTTATGTAATAGTGCATGCAGTGGTATATACAGTCACACAGTTTTCATAGTTTCATAGCTGCTTTAGGACAGCTTGATAGATTCACAATAGAAATATTTCATATTTTTGTATAGGTTAAGATGTTATAATATATATCTGGAAACTTATTTTTCATAGGGCTGTTATATCTAATTAGATGTAAACTCATTTCGCTAAGGTAAACTTTGTGTCTGTACAGGTGACGTAAATTTAGGTGTTGATGAATATAATATATTACTTTAAATGTATTTTCTCATCTTTATAATTTTCTTGGTAATAGTTCCTTATTCATAAGATACTGTAATGAAAGAACATGCATATAATACAGTATAAACGCATAAACTACAAAATCTGGGTATCCATTATCTGGAATGAACTAATCTTTGGACCACCAATCAAATAAATAAACATATTTCTAAATAAAAATAGCAAGAAAAATTATTCATGTCTCTTCTTTGCAGGCATGTAACTTTAAAATAGCTGTTAAATAGGGAGTGACACCTAGCAAATGACAATGAATTGATTGATATATTGATGTTGGCAGAATAACACTTTCCGTGTCTACATCTCATGTCATTTTACTAGATTTAATATTTTCCTATGAACTATAGACACCAATTTTTTATGTTTTAGAGTCATTTAGCTACCTTTTTTAACAGGAAAGAGCAGAATAACAAATTGACACGGTCTTACACTTCCTACTCCATATTAAGGAGTAAATCTTATAGTTTTTTTAATATTTCATAGTCATTCATAGGTTTGAATTTTCATAGTTTGTTGAATTGGTTAATCTGCGGATTATGGTAACTTGGCGATTTTTTGGCGAGAATTTGGCGACCAACCCTGCTACAGCAACCTGCTAGTTTTTTTGGTACTTACGTATTATCGCAACCAGGTTGGTGCTATTTGCAAGTTTGAGTAAAAAAGTATGAATAGAAAGAAAATGTACATTTATTAATTACAGATAATTTTTAATACAGTTTTTATATTATTTTGTTTTAAAATATAAAATAGCAATTAAACCCTTCCGGTTTCGAATTTGAATAAGTTGCAGAATTATTTTTTCGGCGGAAATCTTTTGGCTATTGCTTTTAGCACTGATTGAAAACCATATTCGCCATAACCATGTACACGTCGACTTATTTTTACTTAAAAAAACATCCCAGAATTGCACAAAAATGGCATTGTGCACACTCTTGACTTTATCCATCTACACTGCTATTTTCTCATAAATTACAAAAATTTGCACGAAAATGCAGGAAAATTTTGTGAATCTCCACATGCTCTTTTTCAAAACTACGTATAACACGTAGGGTTGCCGTAAGTAGAGTCGCCAAATTTGTCAATATATGCGAATTTCGGCCTGGTTGCGTTAATACGTAAGTACCGTTTTTTTTTTGGATGCCATTTTGTTTTCATGAAGTAAAGGCTTTTTTTTTTTTTTTTTTTGCGGCCATTTTGTCTTTACGAAGTAAAAACAGGTTTCTTTTCTTTTTACTTCCTGAACATATTTTTCCAACAATCTGCTAGCCGAATTACGCTTATGCTAGAACTTTTATGGAGCAAAAGTGCTTAATCATGACGAAGATTAGGTGCGAAATTGGGAGAAAGTGCAGAATTGCCCACTGCTTGCCACGTTTTTAAGAATTGCACATACACAGTATCATCTGTATACACATCGACCTATTTTCACTTAAAAAAACATCTCAGAATTGCACAAAAATGGCATTGCGCACACTCTTGACTTTATCCATGTACACTGCTAAAGTCCTAGCTAGTAACCTTTATCGCCAAACTACCTGTTACCATATTCCAAAGATTAGCCATTGAATTTTCTGGAAACACATTTGTAGTAGTCAGCCTGTGGGTCATATATGCCCCAGCCACCAGGAAAAGGTTAAACTGATGATCTGAAATCCCGAAATTTACAAAATCTGGAATGGCTGAAGTCCAGGCGATTCTGGATCTTGGTCTTTGCATTGTATGTATATATTACAGGTGCGTATCCTGGGGGGTTGTCCGGGCCACCCAGGCAACAATTGCTTCATCACTGCCTATACTTCAAAACAAAAAAAGTGCTAAATAATTTTTAATAGATAAGCCTTCAGTTTTTAAAATATTGTTTTCCTGTGCTTCTCCCAAAATTCATGTGATTAACAAGGATTGAACGGAAAGCTTACGATTTTCCATTTAGAAGTGAGATCAAGAAAAGTCATCCTTTCCCAGCAATTAAGTGGTGGGAAACTACTTCGAAGGTTATGTGACATTTTCAAGTTGTAAAGCTTTTGTTTTTTTACAGTTTTGAATAGGTCTCCATATCTGATCCCGCTTTCCCTCTAGCTGTCAAACTTAATATCACTAAAGAAGAAAAAGTCCTTTTATAGAAAAGAAAAAAAAAATAATTTGAGGTATTTAATTTTAAGATTTGCTACTTATTATTTAAATATTGTAGTAAAGAGGGAAAGAAACACAGTAAAATAATTTTGAGTGATTGTTTTATAGATTAATTTTGAATTTCAGGCCAAAGCTGGAGATACATACGTAATCACTAGCTTAATGATGCCAACTTGTGATTGATTCTAACTCAATTAATTTGAGACTTCAAATCAGTTTGTGAGTGTCTCTCCCAACATAAAGTGTAAGATTGAGGCAGGTCTTTTAAAAAAAGCTGGGTGAGAGTTGCAAATGAACCTCGTACTTATTGATTGCGAACCTCAACCATTGTAGACAAGTTAACAGTTAAGATGCAATAACACGCCGAACAAATACTAATTCAGAAGTCAAACAACAAAACAGTCACTTTGCCCTTTTGCGGCTGATGATGGTGGTTCGGTAAAACCATCGAAACTAGTCCTGTGAAAATTTGAAAATATAACGCTGATTTTTGTTGTTTGACTTCTGAATTAGTAAAGTTAACAGTTGTTCATAAACTAATTTGGATAATCCTATGAGAAACTGTTAAAGAACTTAAGCATCGTCAAATTTTTATTTCTTTGTTTCACTTAAAGAATTATGAGGGGAGGTGTAAGGAGAAACTCAAGTATGATGAGCAGGTTATTAACGCTGTGTAAAATTAGGGCAATATGCAATCAAAAGATTTTCATTCGTTAAGAATTAAAAAAAATTCTTGGTACTGAAATAAGTATAGTTGTTTCATTGTACTCAAGAAATAAATTGGAAAACAGGAAACAATACATTCCTGTTTGAACATACCTAAAAATAGTCTGTTAAATATATAGCTTTTCATTAGTAATAGCATTTTATTATAATATTTGCATCTTTGATGGGAGTAATCATCCCAAAATCCTTTTTTTTTTTAAACCGATTTCAGTCATTTGTGTTTGTTTAAAAAATCTTAAGTGAATGAGAACTGATTTAGCAAATTTTTTCCCCTATAATTTTGTATTAATATTGGGATATTATTTATATTATGCAGTGATGTTTATTAAATTTTATTTATAGCTTACTTTTATTTTATTTTTATTAAAAAAGTTTTGGACTCTAATCCTGAACTTATAATTGCTGCATGTTGTTACCTAACACTATGTCTGGGACAGTTTATGCTGGTGATCGAGTGCCAAACTCAACAGAAACTGAATTTTCAAGTAATGATATTGCTTCTACAGGGATCTTTTCTACTGAATATAGAAAGTGAGTAAATTTGGATTTATTTCAGTTTTTGTGTATGATTACTAGCATTTTTTACTTAAATACTAAAGATTGGAAATATGATTTTATGTATATTCTATGCATTTTCCCACAGACATGAAGATCTCAAAAATATGCTTGATGGAAATAAAGATGTTTTGAAATTGGAAGCAATGAAAAGAATTATTGGGGTAAGTTTTAAAAGGAACTACGTGAATTTTTTAAATTATTGAATTTAAGTTATATACTAGCAAAACTGAATCTCAGAATGATTTGATTTTAAATAAATATTCAAGTCTGGTCTAAGAAGATTGAATGTTATCAAATTTTAAATTTGGCATGTTTTTGTTCACATCTATTATGAGTTGTTAAATGCTGGGTTAATCTTCGAATTATGGTAGCTTGGCGATTTTTTGGCAAAAATTTGGCGACCAACCCTGCTACAGCAACCTGCTAGTTTTTTTTTTTTTGGACACCATTTTGTTTTCACGAAGTATAAGGCATGTTTTTTTTTTACTCATTTTTTTCCAACAATCTGTTAGCCGAATTACGCTTATGCTAGAACTTTTATAGAACAAAAGTGGTTAAACATGACAAAGATTAGGTACGAAATTGGGAGAAAGTGCAGAATTGCCCACTGCTTGCCACGTTTTTAAGAATTGCACATACACGGTATCCATGTACACGTCAACCTATTTTCACTTAAAAAAAAATCCCAGAATTGCACAAAAATGGCATTGCACACACTCGACTTTATCCATGTACACTGCTAAAGTCCTAGCTAGTAACCTTTATCGCCGTACCAAATTGTCGCCAAACTACCTGTTACCATATACCAAAGATTAGCCAAATGCTGTTGTTCTGGACTGGATTAAGACTTTTATAGGCCCTGAACCTAGGGATAGGCAAAAATTTTTAACATGGACCAAAAAGGTGTTTTGAAGAATGTATTGGGAGGAGGGGGGGGGAGGTGATACAAATTAATAAAAATTACTATTATAATTTTAAAAAATATAAATACACTGAAAATGGAATCATTTCCTAATAGTCATGAAATGACATATATACTGTTTCACTTTCAAATAAAAGTTTAGAGCTGAAATATTTTCCCTAAGCTCTCTTATTTGATTAGTCTTTTTAATCTCAACAGCATTCATATGTCATTGTTTAATTTTTAATCTCAACAGCATTCATATGTCATTGTTTAATTTTTAATTTAAATTGCTACAGATAATATAAGTCAAAAGTCGTTAATCCGGACACCCATAATCCAGAATGATCTATAATCCGGACCTCAAAGCTACAAACATTCTGCACATGCACGTAATACCTTTATGCATGCGTGTAATACGTTTATGCGTGCACGTTTAATGTATAACCGATGGTATAAGTTATACTAAAATTATCTAATTATCTATTTCAGTTAATGTTGCACATTGCGTTGTTCCTTAATCTTCGAATTGGATCCGGTTTATTATTTTTTGCAGACTGTTAGAGCAATTTTATAAAAGTAAGTTAGAACTTTCGATTATGTCAAATAGAATTTGCGAAGCTGGATCTACAAAGGGAAAGCATGTTTCGATGTCCATCAAACAAAAAGTGGAATTGCTGCAAAAAAATGGATGAAGACTCATTTGTTTCTCTAACCATTCCGAAATCCGTTTATCAATTTCACACTGCTCTGCGTGGGGGAATGGGGGGGGGACATCGCGGCACGCAATGAACTGGAAGTTGATCTGTCAGCACTATCCTTATCTTCAGGGCAGATATTTTTATTTTATTCAGCGTATAATTCCTTACTAAATGTAGTATTTCATCTCGATGTACTCCGTCTTTGATATGATTTAAATCAAATTTCTCGTCATTATAAATATCATGAATACAAATCAAAAGTTTTCTCGTTGCAGTTTTCCAATTTCGACTATGCATAATGTATGCTTTACGCATGTGTGCGTTGAAAGAAATCTTTAATGAAGTGAACAAATAAATATTAAGCTTTTTTTTTTTGTAAATTTTGATACCCTTTAGATCATAATTGCTCTTTATTTCATAAATTACGGGTTCATATTTTTAATTTTATAATTTCTGCATGCCATCTTACCAGATTTAAAATGATGATCTATAATCCGGAATCGCCGAAGTCCCGACAAGTCCGAATTAAAGACTTTTGACTGTAATTATATTCTTTGTTATATGTACATGCTTTCTAGCATATTTAGTATTTTGAGCTTAGGGTGATTGCTAGTTTAGTCATGCATATATATATATATATATATATATATATATTATATATGCGTATACACTATAACAATAGATACACACTTTTGATTTTGGTAGTGTATACAGAAAAATCTGATAAGAAAGAGATGAAAATGTTGTCAAACAGGATTTCATAATGGGACAGATTAAGCAATTACAAGAATCACATTCGGCCCAAGACTTTTTTTTTTTTTTGAAAAATTTGGCACCCCTATCTGAAACACTTATAAGTTTTGATGCCTCCATATACACTTACACTAGTTTTATCTCTCTTGATCTTGGTTTAGCAGCACCATTTGCTGTAAGGTAAAATCAGCAATGGGAAATTTTTGTGATGCCCCTTTTCCTTGACACTGTGAGCATTTGTTTATTTTGCTTAATGGTTAATCCTCCTCTGGTTCTGTTACTTTATTATCATTATTATTATTTATTATATTTTTTGATAATTATTCTTTTGCTATTTTTTCTTTGATTATTTATTCAGGATTAAGTAGTTACAATTGTTATCAGATAAAGTTATTTACAGATTGAAGTCTGGTGTATGAAGTTATTGCATTTCATCAAATTTTAATTGTGTGAATAATTCAAGTTATTTCTTAAGTGAAGTCTGTTTGCAGTAAAAACTAAGCAAGTAAAAATTTATTTGGCTCTACTCTTATATGCGTCCTCAGGTCGCCAAATGCAGCGATATGTGTTGTGTGCTGGTTTTTGTTTTTGGCGGGATTGCGTGTTCTGCGATGGTTTTGGGGGCGATTTGGGTTTCTGTGACAACCCTTTTTACGTGGAAATTTGGATTTTACTACTGTAGTGGTCTTAGTTGCTAGTTGGTTCGTGAGCTGTGTGGTTTTAAATGAATTTATGATGCAATCGAGGGCATATGAGCAATGAAAGACATGTTGGCAAAATTTTAGTCGTGTGGGCTGGTGCAACTATTTTTTGCGGTGGCTGGAAATTCTGCAAGTATTTAGGAGAAGATTTTGAACATTTATTTGTGAAACATAGTATCAATTTTGTGGAGTGAGTCTGGCTGCCATATATATAATAGTGATTATGTGATTTGCCGACTTATAATCGGAAATGCGATTTGGAGTTTTATTTGGTGGTTTATATATTTTCCATCATTGTTCTGAAACGGGAGAAGATGCTTTTAACAAATTTGTGATGAAATTGTTTTGGTGATTTTGAAATTGGTATTTCTGCTGTTCGAAGAAGCATTCATTCATGGTAAGTGCATTTTGTTTTATTCTTGTTCTTATTTTGTAGAAAGTTATGTTCATTGATTTTACTTCTTTGTAAGAAGTAAAAAGGAAGTATTGTAATCGCGAAAAGTTTCAGGCAGCATATTTCAACGAAAATATCCATTTTGACCGCTATCGAATGCGATTTAACGATGCTTTTTTTGCGTGATATCTGTACATAAGGACAGAATAAAATACTCTTTTCCTTAAAAAAAATTATAAAACTGCTTTAAAATTAATTCTGAAGAGAATTTTTTTCGTGGCGTCTGTACCGTACGGACGTTTCCGACATTTCCTTTCGCATTTATTTCGTATCTCGCATAACTCGAAAAAACGAGTAGCCTCAGAACTTTGAAATTGTGTATATAGGACTGTTATAACATGTAGATGTGCACCTTGTATTTTGGTTGCAATCGGCCGCACCAAACATATATAAATATATTTATATATATATCCACACTGTTACCCGGCTCAGTAATCTCAGTTTCTTTTTACTCTTATATGTTTGTAAATTGTACATTTTTTGCTTTAGAAATGATTGAATTATGTTGTACGTATCTTCCGGTTAAAGTTTTTATGCCTTTAGTAAATCTGTATGCATTATTTTTAGAATTATCGACAATTTTAAAGTTGTTTAAGGGCCGCTAGGCCTAATAATGTTTTTCGTGGCGGCCATTGCTTGTTTACATTTGAAATAGCAGAATAGTGGATTTGTTGCCAATCTAGAGAAACTTAGCTTAACAATAAAGATAACGTCTTCGTTTATTATTGCGAATTCAATCGTGCTTAATCCTTTCTGGAATTTTTTCAAGGAAATACTTGTTTAAGATTTTTAATACAGATATTTTGAGTTTTTATGTATTTTTGCCCTGTCGCGGAGTGAGAACTGAATTAATTGAATGAGATTTTACTCAATCGTCTGTGAAAAACTGTTTCTTTTTTGTTTTGTTTGCTTAATTTCTTTTATACTATTTGAATAGAATGTGGCAACGATTAGATCTTTAAATGATATAAATTTTGTGCACTCTGTGTTATAATATGAAAGAGCTCCAGTCAACTGAAATGCTTGTCATAAATGGTGCCACACACCTCATTTGTTTAAAGTTTACTTATTCTAAGGATGGCGGTACAGGAGCCTCCGTCGCTAGTAATCTCCGAGTTCTAGCACAGCATGTGCACAAGTACTTCCATGTTATTGGATACAACTTGCTCGATTCCTCAAGCATTTAAAAGTCAAGTATATTGGTAAAGGCCGTTAATGGTCGATTGCCTCTTACTAAGTGATGAGACATAGACATAGTTATAATATGAACGAAATATAGTACTGTCAATTGAACCTAGCGTCAGAGTGTCCCTATGCTAAACAAATATAGTGAATTTTAAAGGGTGCGTTTATTCTGTTGTGGGTTATGCGCTGTCGGTAGTAATATGGCAGCGTTGAGTTTCTTGCCAAAAATGTTTGGTGAGAAATTTGTCGCCAACGGAGGGCGTATATGAGAGTAGTTCATTATATTTTCATTATTATTATTATTTCATTCGTATATGAGAGTAGTTATATATATATATATATAATGTTTTTGGTATTTACATACCGTTTTTTTTCCCTCTCTTTTACTAATTCACTTTTTAGTTTAAATATCATAATTGAATCCCCTCCTTACAGAACTCTGTTACCAGTGATGTAATTATTAATGATCATTTTCATTTCACCATGCCATTTGCTCATCTCTTCTTTGTGTGAATTTGGTTCTGAAATCATTGGCATAGCTCAAACATTTGCCACCCGGGGCGGTTCCTGAATTTGCTGATACTCTTGTTACACTAACGAATAACTATAAAAATGTGAAAATGGTGCATCGGGAAATAAAACTTTGTATTTATTTCTGAAGAAAAACTTTAATTTGAGAATTTTAAAATTATTATTTCTGTTCATGAAACTATTGGTGTCATGGCTACAATTCATTGGCTTCTGTTTGAAGAAGCTGTTAGTGTCATAGTCTGCTGCATTGCTTCTGTTGCTGTTATGTAGACAGTTTAGAGAGTTTTTTTATACATTATTCTCTATAGAATATACATTTGTAGTTATGTAAATAATTTTTATTTAGAAAACGCTTCTCACAACTAGCAACTTTTGCAGCAATTGAGAGGGCAGTTTGCACTAGTATTGCAGTATTTGGAATTTTGTCCTGGAGATTATATTTTAGAATAAACTGCAAAAATTCAAAATGACTACCTTCCAAGTTCCTGTTTCAATTTTTCTAGCAATGAAGAAAATAAAACTGTGAAATATGTTTTTCTTATCCATGAATTTCCGTATCAATGTAATGTTTCCATATCAATGGAATCTTTAATTTTCCTTCATGATCATAATTTAATTTATATTTCTAACTGTATTTTGTCTAATTGTATTTGGCAGATTGAAAAATGTGTAACAAAAAATACGTAGCTGTTGAAATCATGCAGTGATTTCTTTGAATACTTTATCTAGAGCAGGGTTTCTTAAACATTTTTCAGCCGCAACCCCTTTTTATCACTGAGATTTTTTCATGACCCCCAGGACCCCATAATATTTGCGAAAATTTTGTGGGACCTCATAAGCATTGTGCAAATCCGACACACATGTGTGTGAAACTGTCAATTTTTTTTTTACTTGAACTGTAATATACTATTGCAGTTTTAGATCATTAACTTTAATTTCTAATTTTAAGACATAGAGCAATGGGAAAATTAAAAAAAAGTAACAGACGAAATGACAGCATCACGTGCAAAGCAAGTAAAATGAACGTTTCTGTTATAAAAAGAATGCGTCGAAACGTTTTGCTTTTTTCTTTGTCTATATTGTCGTATCTTTTTCTATTTTCAGATACATTGTGTAAAAATATTTGGGAATTGTAAAATTATTATAATAAGTTAAAGAAATATCAAAACTGCTAAATATTTGGCGACTTCCTGCTGCAGGTCCTGCGACCCACAGTTTAAGAACCACTGATGTAGAGTAAAAATTTTTTCTCTTAATTTAAATAACAGTTTAGAATCTTAATTTTCTTCACTAGCCTCAACAGTCCATCTGACTGACACCTATAAAGTAATGTTCTACACAAAAAATGTCACCCTTAACCCATAACAGGGGAGGTCAAATATTGAGACGTAACTGGGGACGTGCGGTCACAGAGACCGCATCTCCTTATGATTTAAATACGAAGTTTTATTCCAAATATTAAAATTTTATTTTACCCATATGTTCTCACTTATCTTCAAACAGGAAAAAAAAAAAAAAAAAAAAAAAAAAAGTACGAAGAAATCAATTAGCACAAGGAACGTCTTTCCTGCAACATGAGCGTCTTTTTAGAAAAACCTTTTGCAAATGTAAATTATGCAAAACAAACCAGAATAACTATTTTTATGAATAATAATTATTTTCCATTAATTTACCATATGATAGATATAGTCAGATGAAAAATATAAATATTGTTTGAAACATAAAAAAAAAAAAAAAATGACAATACCTTAACTATCAGTAATATCATTGTGTTCTTGCAAAAAATATCAATTTACTTAGTATATTCTTGTGCACATTCATGACATAATTTTTGTGCACATACTAAACAAACTGCCATTTTACAACTTGCGCATAAATACAAAGGTTTCAGTTCTTTTCTCTAATATTTTGTTTGTGAAAAAGAGTTCCTAAATGCTTTTAGGATCCGTATTTTCACCCAATTTTCCATATACTCATAATCTTGGAAGATGAACTATATTATACGCGGGAGTTCTCACATTTCGTTGAGGTTCAATAGATGACCACTTGAAGCAGTTTTTCTTATAATAATATTTTTTAGATGAAATGGTTTTAGTCTCTGGTTCAGTGATTCATTGTTAGATTCAGAAAGTTCTGATATCGTGGAATACGAACTTTCATTTGCAAAATTTTCTTGGCATTCATCTTCATTGCTAAATTTACTTCCTACTTCATCAAGAGTTCTTTGCAGCTCTTCTGCATAACGCGAATCAGAAGGATATATGATATTTCTCAGACCGAGTCTCAGAGCCATGTTTCCACCTGGGACAGAAATCATAACACTGAGAAGGAGGTTTGGTCTGACATACCGCTCTCAGACAAAGGACTAGAATTTCACAATGATGCGGGTGCAAAAAATGTTAGCTAATGGGTGAAAATTATCAAGGTCACAAAAGAAGAGGCTAGCAGGAGAATCCACTCAATCAGACTGAGTATAGAGTAGGAGTGATAGGAACAACATCTGTAGCGGTATCTGAGACCACACCTCCCCTGTTACGTGTTAAAAATGTGCCATCTGGGGCAGACACCACCTTGGCCCGCTCTAGCTGTGCCACTGTCTCAGATGCGTGAACCAAATCATAAATTCTTACAGAAGACTCAGAAGAGTGCTATTCATCATGGACATTTTCTTGTCCTCCTTTGAAACAGTCTTTTCAATTTTTGGTTTTTATTGTTGCACTGTATTGTTACTGTGCACTTCACATATTTGGTAATGAATATCTGCAGCTTGCTGTTAAGAATTGGGTGACTTAATGTATTTTATATTTGGCATGGCATTCAACTTTCTCAAACATTCTGTTTTCACATTACGAAACATACAAACTAATGTTGTGAATGCAGATTGTGTCGGCTTCTATGCAAAGAATGCTGAGAACTTACGTTCATACACTTTGTCATGTATGCATGGCATTTCATATGGTACGTAAATATGGACCATATTTAAAAAACAACTTATGTATGATGTAATATTGAGTGGACTGTTTCTGAACTTTTCTGTTTTCATAAGGAGGAAAGACTTGCTTATTATCCTATAAATGTCAATTACTCTATATGTACTAATTTTACAATGTACTTTACAAGATCACAATATTGGCAAATGTAATGTTAAATTAATTGTGATCAATGCAAATCCAAAGATCAAATGGGGTGGGAACCTGTTGATTTTTTATAACTATAAATAGAATAGTACTTACGCTGTAAAATATAGTTCCATTATTTTTATTGATCTCTCTCTCTCTCTCCCTCTTTTTTTTTTTTTTTTTTTTTTTTTTTTTTTTTTTTAAGTAAGCAATGAAATATGCTCTATTCATGTAAAATTCGTGTATTGTGGAAAAAAGTCAACATTTTTGGTTTCCAGGATTGCAAATCAGTACAAATCTTCACTTTTATTTCTACGAGTATGAAATAAAGCTGTAAAAGACAACTGATGACAGGATCACCCAATGACACATGGATTTTTCCCTTCTTTGGTTGTAACTTCCCTCTTTCTGCTGAAGAGTAAATTCTCACATGAGTCCCTCATCATGGTGACTTGTAATTAACCCTTTCAGAACAGTTCCAGATGTTTTGATAGAATGCCAGCCAAGGTTGCTTTTGTCATGGTTGAACACTGTGTCCTGAATGAAGAATGTATATGCTTTAAAAATTTTTCCTTTCATCAGCTAAATTGTTTGTGTTTTTACCTATTAACAAGCATGTTATTTATATGTGTTTTTTTTAAACTGTGCGGAGTGGTATTGTAAAATTAAAATTTGACATTTTACTTGATTGAGATATATCATGAAATATTTCCATATTATAAAATATATGCAACTTGAGATTATTTTTTGCAAAGAAATTTTGAGTTAGATATTTAAATGATGATTCATTAAACTGAATGGGTCTTTGGATAGTAAAATTTTCCTTAGATATATTGTAAATATAAAGAAATAATAGGTACTATTTGCAAGTAAGTCAGTGAGATTTTTGTTTGTAACTGATTGGGGGGGGAATGAAGTAAAGATTCAAAAATATATACAATTAAAGTAAACATCTGATGAAAACTACAGTTATCACATAAGACAAATTTTTGTAAACAAAGAAGTGTAAATTTTTGTGAATAAAATGTTATAATAATTTATCTTTCGTTAATGATGTATTGTTTAATTTTTATAGTTGCCCTAAAGTTTATTGGTATGTTAAATAATAGTTTGTGTATATGAATTCTAATTTTTTATAATACAGTTTTAATTAGCTGTTTAATAGTGATCAGGTGTGATAAACATATAACGTAATTCATTTAGCAATTTTTTTTATTTTCAGCTTAAAAATACAAGAAGCTCACTAATATAATTTTTGGGATAATTGATCTTTTTTATACATTGTCAAACAGTGGAAAGTACACAGTACTTGAAATAAAGCTTCTTTGTTAAAATGCTCTGCATTTATTATTTTTGATGAGCATGCACAAGTGAATTTAATTTTATGAATTAAATTTTTGTATTTTTTGTGCTTGCAATAAAATTTCTATGCATTTAATAGTATAAATTTTATGAATTGATTTCTGTTGGATCGTTTTCATTTTACTATTTTATACTATTGGAAGGTATAGTTTTTGCTATAATTTTATTGAAGATTATAATATCTGAGATACTTTTGTTTTTTATTGTGTGTAATAATATTCCTTTAATTCTTTTTTCTTGCAGATGATAGCAAAAGGAAAAGATGCATCAGATCTTTTTCCAGCTGTTGTAAAAAATGTTGTTTCTAAAAACATTGAGGTGAGATTATAAATGAAAATTATTCTATACAGAAGCTATTTATTTTCCTTTCTGAAATCGTTCATTGAAGTTTTCATTTTTCAGGTTAAGAAACTTGTGTATGTATATCTTGTGAGGTATGCAGAAGAGCAGCAAGATTTAGCTTTGTTATCCATAAGTACATTTCAGAGAGCTTTGAAGGTGTGAAGGGTATTTTGTTTAAATTATGCATCTGTTGTTTATGATAAATATATGCTCTTTTTAACTTTGTTTATTGAGATGTACTTAATAATTAATTTTTACTTCTTTGTATGAAGTAAAGGAAGTTTTGTAATCTCGTAAAATTTCATGTGTATGTATTTATGTATCTTGCATAACTAAAAAATGATTAGCTATAAAACATTACAATTTTGTATTTGGGACTGCTATAACATCTGGTTGTGTATCTTTGTTTTTTATTGCAATCAGTTCTAAACATATATATATATTTAAGAAATATTTTACAAAGAGCCAACTGTAAAGACATATTAACCACTTAAATGTTTTGCTCGAACAATGTTCGGGTGTTGCGAAAGGGACATTTTTGATTTGTCCTTATACCACTCGGGCAGTGTATTTTGCTACACTAATCTGTTAATTTTCCTGGCTTTTTCACATTTTTTACTTTGCAGTGTTTCTAATTGATGTCTCTAGTGGTCCAGGAGAGATTGGATTGTAAAACAAGTTCAGAGATTGGTTTTGCTGCTTTTCATTATGTAAAGAAATTCAACGAGTTTGTTTGCAGGGTATTAGGCTTTGTGAATAGTATTTCTTCCCAATTTTGTCACAAAATAAAAGAAAAATGGATAACAGTAAGTGGCTCATAACAGAATATAATTCTGATACTGGATCAGGTAGGGAATCTGAATGTTCTATTCTTCTTCATTACCATCAAAAAGTGCGAAAGTGTCGTCCACATACCAAATCCAGAGACAAAACGATAGTTTATCAAATAATTTCACCTCAAAATAATGTATATAAATGTCAGCAAGTACAGGACTGAGAGGATTACCTGTAGGCAATTCTTCAATTTGACAAAAATATTCATTTTGGAAAACAAAGTGGGTTTGAATCAGAGAGACTTTAGTAAGCGAAACCAACTCGTCAATTTCAGTATGTGTGAAATGGAATTCCCGAAGCCTAGTTTCAAGACATTTTAGTGCTCCTTTGATGGGAACATTAGTAAACAGTGATTTGACATCAAATGACACCATAATGAAATGCAGTGGAGAAATACCTTTAAGTTTATTGATGACTTCCAAAGAATTTTTTACTGTGTGAATATTGTTATCAAGTAAAGGAAATATCTGGAAACTAAATATTTGGTTAAAGGATATGATGCTGTACCTATGTTGGAAACAATTTGTCAAAAAGGAATACCAGTTTTGTGGACTTTTGGGAGAGCATAAAGCCTAGCACAGTTAGTAATAGGTGGGATAAGTGATTTCTTCAACTGCATTCTCAGTATATGAGAAGATTTAATGTGCATTATTCCTGGCACAAATTGAAAAAATTAACCAAGATGAATTTTTTAATTTCTCCCTAAATTTTGCAGCAAATTTTACAGAATTTAATATTTAGGCATAATTTCAGCTGTAGAAGTGAATTATGGGGAAAAAAAAAAAATGGCATGTCATGTCATTTCAGAAAAACTTGATTTTGTGTCAAAATACCTATATTAGAACAATGCTATATATAAATCTAGTACATATTCTAAGTTGCTTTTTGAGACATGAAACATGCAATTTGAATTTCATCAATTGGCCCAGTAGAACAAGAACTGTTTCCCCTTTTTTTTCGCAGTGTACCTTAATACCCTAAACAGTTTTTCCTATGGAAGGGTAATCTTAATTTAGAAGTTAAACAACAAAAATCACTGAACCATTATCCTCAGCTGCAAAAGCACGAGGGTAATCTTTTTAATAAAAATATTTTTACTAATTTCTTATAATAATTACTTGATATATATACTATATATGCATGTAAGAAAAATAATATGTAAAAGATTAAATTAGCAGCATAAATTAATTTCCCTTATCTATTCTAAAAATAGTAACCACTCTCTGCACTGCGTCATTTCAAGAAAAATGTATGTCATATGACTCTTACGTAATTATGATGATGTAAATGGAACTAAAATTCAACCAGCCAATAATAATTTTCAGGAATATTAACTAGCCAATCAGAATGCTTTGAGAATCAAAACTAACTCAGTTTGACTTCAGATTTCATCCTGAACATTACGTACTTGCTTTCCACGCTTTGGCCTATCTATACTGCTGTCTGCTGCTTTCTTGCTACAAAATTATCAAAAATGTAAGCGTTTTGGAACAGGCACATTTAATGTGCCGACTTGTGTGTAGCCGCAACATGTTGCCGAAAATAAAACTGAAGATTTAACCTGCATTCGCCTTCAATTTCCTAGTCATTATGGATCAACACCTCTACGCATCAAAATTTCTCCTCCTGCTCCTGGTCATTGCTTCTGAGTTTGAATATATCACATGTAACACCCACCCACCCTATACCCATCCTTTATTTTCACAATTGTTGGTCGTAGTCATATGCTTTTTGTTACAGAAGTGTTATAAATGATAAAAAATATTCATGTTTTGGTGATGTCAAATTTAAAAAAATTACTTTAGCACAAATAACGAAATCTAACTTTTAATACGTTGCGATTTTTATATTTTTGAAAGTTTTATGCTTTTTATAAAAAAAATAAAATCATAAGAAGTTTGACTTTAGTATGCCAAAAATCTATTGGGATATTTAATTATAAAATTTGCAGTTTTTATGTCATTTTCAACTTGCCTTAAGATATCAGTTTATTAATTAGAATAATTCAAGGAAATAAGTTTAAATAAAGTGCAGCAAAAATGTGTATAATTAAATAGTAATTAAATAGGCTATACAAGAAAGTCCTGGTGTCCAAATCAGATTTTTTGGATATTAATATATGATATCTGCAGAAATTGCTGAACATGTTACAAAAAAGTGTATCAGAATTAGTTAAATCTGAAATTAGAGATCCATCTGCATTTAATTATTAATTTATTTAATATTAATGTTTTTTTTTTCCTGTTAAAATTGTTTAATAATTCACATTTAGAAAAATGATTTAGAATTTTATATTTGTAGTTAGAATTTCATGTTTCAGTGAATAATTTGAGGAAAATATAAAAACAATTTTATTTTGAAACAAAAGTAAAATGCTGGCATTTTTTACTTAACAGATTTATCTTAATGCATTTGATCACATAGGACACAATAATAATAATTTTATTTTGATTCTCAAAATTTTTTCCAGTTTTAGGCAAAAGACCTAAAAAATCTCAAAATGTGCTTTTATGTAGATTTATTTGGAATGTAATATTGATTTAGTTATATCATCAACTTAATAAATGTTTTATCAGTTCAAGATGGGAATACCAAATAGTATGGCATTAGTGATAAAATAAATGATCATGTTTGTATTATTAAAATTTCTTATTTAAATTTTTAACATTTTAATTTTACAGTATCATATAGTATTTATATACTGGTGGACAATTGCTAAGGGGGACTGCTAGGGATGACAGCAGCGATAGCAACTGCAAAATGGAAGGTATGAAAATGTGAAAATTAATAGAAGTGTGAGATGCAGGAAGACATGTTGTGTGTAAGCAAATTTTGGGTTGACGAAGTTGTTCCTTACGTGATGCGCTGATAAAAGATTTGACATGTATTGACCTGTGTTGTTCAAAAGCAAACTTTATCAGGAAAGAATGAATTGACAAACTTGCAATTTTTGATATATCTTCCCAGCATCACTTAAATGATTTGACCTGTGGCTGTATTATTGGCAAGATTGAAGAACAAAAAATAACTGATGCTGCTAGGGAGTTTGACGTTAGCCACAATGCTATTTCAGAGCTTTGGAAAACATTTGAAACAAATGTAATATGCAGCAAAATGTTATGGGGAAGGTCATGTTTTGCAGTATACTGCCTGCAGAAGATAGGTATATAGTGTTATCGACGAAAAGAACTGGAGCAGCACAGTTATTGATGTAGCAGATCATTTACTTGCTGCTACTGGCAATCGAATCTTCTGAAAAACTGTAGTCATATGTTTGCATCAAGGAGGAGTATACAGCCGCCATCCTGTTGTGTGCATTTTATTGTCCAGATAGCAATGTACTGCCCATTTGCTATGGTATCACGAGCATTGTAACTGGACACAGTAGACCTGGGCTTGTGTACTATTCTTAGATAAGAGTAGGATTAGTGTGTTATCTAATTATAGATGTCGACTGATCTGACAAGAGAGTAGAAAATATCCAGGACTTTCTTTTCGTCCAGAAAATATCCAGAAAAGAAACAGTATCCGAGATGCAGTATCATAGTACGGGCTGATACCATGATCAATGGCTGCACGCCTCTACATGTGGTTGCAACTGGGACTATTATTGGCCAATGATATATTAATGATGTTCTGCTGCCTCTTTTTTCATGTTCCATGGTGAAAAATTCAGTGATAAATTTGTTTTCATGGATGGCAACATACCATCAAACAGTCGCTGCCCATCGAGGGTATTCAATGCCTTGGATGGTCAGCACATTCTCCAGATCTGAATCCCATTGGAAATGTAAGATGCTTTGGGGAGGAGTCTTGCTGGTCAACAATGCCTTCCAATAAACAAGGTCACCTTCATTGCTGCACTGACAGAGAAATGAGATAAATTACCCAAACAGCTGTTGAATAATGTTGTGCAAAGTATGACACAGTGTGTGGAATCTTACATTACCCTCCATGATGACCATATCCCAAATTGACATTTTATGCCAGAATGCCTGTGAATGGTTTTGAATTGAATTTTTTTTTATTTTTACATATTCAGCACAATATGACCATTTTGTCCTTTGAAAACTTTTCAAAACCTTCTAGATTTCAGAGCACAATAAATTATCTTTGTTTTTTCCTAGTATTCTTTCATTATTTTATTTCCCGTGGCATCCAAACACCCTTACTTTTTAACGCACTGTATAGCTGTTTATGATTTACCTGTAGCAATTATCTACCACTGTATATCTTAACTCTAAGTTACTGAAGTCTTTTTTTTTTCCTTTCAGGATCCAAATCAGTTAATTAGAGCTAGTGCACTGAGAGTTTTATCTAGCATCAGAGTTCCAGTCATAGTGCCAATAATGATGTTGGCCATCCGTGATGCTGTGAATGATATGTCTCCATATGTAAGGAAAACAGCTGCCCATGCTATCCCTAAGTTGTACAGGTTAGGTAATACTTCTGATCCCTTGTATTGCTTATAATCTTTACAACCTTTTTTTTTTTCTTTGAAGATTTTATTCTAAAAAGTCAGAGATAATGTCATAAAGTAATGTTATATACTGTATTAAAAATAAAGTGTTCTATAACTATGCTTATAATACAGTTAATTGTTTAAGATATTTTTAAGTTAGTTTCAGGAAAGGTAAAATAATGAAAGTTTGTAATTTAGTATAAAAAGGGCATAGAGGCATGGGTCTTGTATTTAATGAAAGTAGAGTAAAACAAAGTCTGAATTTAACATTATTAGATAACATTGATAGTTGCAAATTAAAGCTACTGGTAAATCATCTGATATTATTCCATCTTACATAAATTGAAGAATTAGCTGTAGAATATTCCCTTATTTGCAGAACTTGCTGATGAGCAAATTATCTTACCTCCTTTTCCCTAGTAATGTTCTGTATACTTTGCTGATAATATTATTGTTTAGACAATATTTTTATGTCACTTACATATTTTAAAATGATGATTTTTAAATAATGATTAATAATTAACATATATGTATTTTTTTAATGTGTAGCTTAGATCCAGAGCAGAAAGATCAACTGATTGAAGTTTTAGAAAAGTTGTTATCAGATAAAACAACTGTAAGTTTATTTTCCCATTTTTTATCCATGCATTTTTGCAAACAAAAATGTTCACCTCTTGTTACTGAATTTTTTATTCTTTCATTTTAAACTTTTCTGTTCCCATGTTATTTTTTAAAATTTATCATTGTCATTTGTGGTGATTAATTTCATGATCATGAACGTCTTTGAATTTTTTTTACATGTTATTTAATTTTTAGTGTTTTCAGTCAATACTTATGAAGTTTTGATAGATGTGTACATGAACATACTGGTGCTAATTTTTCATGTATATATGTTTATATATAGACAAAGGGAGAACAAAATTGGAAATTATTTCATTAACAACTATCAAAGTCATGCAGAATACTAATAATTAATATGAATAAAATAGGAAAATTTTAATCAACTCAGTAATAGTGAGGTACCTAGCAAGAAAGCAAACATAAGAAATTAATCCTGAAATCAATAGCAGATTAAATCATTAACAAAAAATTCAGTTTGAGGTGATAATTCTTTTTGTCTTTTTCAATGAACATCAACAGAGCTGCTGTTCTGGTTTATCTGAATGAATTGCTAAACTTTAATTGTAAATATGCTCTGATGAGACTTCGATGAAAATATGTTTGTATATTTTACAGTTATATATAAACAGAAAAGGGGAAAAGAAATTCAGAATTTTAAATATCGCACACATAGCTATTAATTAAAAAATTATGAACTAAAATATAAGTTGATTTTGATTGTAGCTTAGCTAAATTGTTTATCTGAATGCTAAAGTTTTCAAAAATTTACTTTTTAAATTACCAAAGGATTTAAAACAAATCATTATAAATATATCATACATTTCCAACAAATTCGTAGCTTCTTTACTGTGGTTTATTAGAAGAAAAAGGAGATATTGCAGTTTGTGGCTATAATATGTAAGTGTGTGAGCTTTCAAATACTGAGATTTTAGTAACTCGGTTTTTTGAAGTTTTTTTTATTACATTTGGAATGTTTCGTTTGTTCAGTAGCTGCCACAGTATTTATAATACCATTTGCCTGCATGGCCAGCTGCCTGAAATATTAATTATAAGAACAAAAATATATATAATGATTTAATAAGTACAACTAGTGTAATATCATGGCTTCAGGTAGTATTTCATAATAATAAGACATGAAGAACTTGGCTATTGCTTTTGTTAATCAATAATAAGCATATTGTTGGAGAAAAAAGATTTTACTGTTTGCAAACACATTGGCCTGTGGAAGATAGAAATATTTGATTTCAGGCAGTGATGGTACATTTTTTTTAAATAACTGAGTTTACTGATTAAATTCATAAGAGAAATAAATAAATATCTTATACTTTGCTGAGTGGAAACACATTTCTTTTAAATTGCTGAGTTTTCTGATTAAATTCAAAACTCGAGTATTTTACACTTTGCAGAGGAGTAACTTATTGTTTTTAAGTCACCGAGTTTGTTAATCTAAATTTCATTAAGCTCCCGCTAAATATAAATTAACTCAAAGAGAATACATGAAATTCAAAATTTGGACTTCTAAGTGCAAGTGTTCTGGTGAGGGATTACATGAGTTGATAATTTCGTAGCTCTAGGTAGTGCCATTTTTCAGCTGCAGTTCTGATACAGTATGGGAGCATACATACAATACATGTATATTCTTCATTATTTGATAACAGAAATTTTGAAAGATTAGTATATAAAATAAAAATGGAAGGGTGGTTATTAGTGATTTGAAGTAAATTTGAATTATAACAATTTTTGAACTTATTATCCTTTTGAAAATAGACTTTTTAGATATTTTTTATTCAGTCTATATATTTATGAAATTATTTTAAAAATACAGTTATTTCTGTAAGGAGGAATTTTGTCATTCAATTGTGAGATGTTTCCCATTATGGGAAAACACATACCAAACAATTTCATTCTGCAAGATATATGTGCCAATGCTGTCTGCTAAGTTAAATATATCTCTTATCTTATCTTTTTTGAGAGCAGTTCTATTTTCCAAAGAAAAAGTTTTTCTATTTTGTTCTTAATTAATTGAAATGATCAACCTAGGAGATCTACCGTATTTGGCGGCATATAAAACACACTGGCATATAAGGCGCACCCTTATTCAGAAGGCCACACACAAGGAATAAAAGTCTGAATAGTCCCTGCGAAGGCGCGTTATCACAATTACTTAAAATGTGGTTCTTTTAGTTCTCACGTTTCGTAAAACCAAATAAACAATCATTGAATGCAATTACCAAACATATTTTTATTAAGGAAAATTAACAAAAGGCAAGCTATTTTGAACATGATATGTAAATTTCAATAATGAATAAACGGCAAGCAATCAAACATAATACAAAACAAAGCACAAACAAACAAAAAAAAAAAAAAAAAAAAAAGATTCAAGGAAAACGTTGCCTATTATGAAATTAGACTTAAATCACTTTCAAAACCATAAAAATCCTTTTCACTATCATCATCATCGAAAATGAGAATATCGTCATCACTACTGTTTCCATCATCGCTAGCATCACCTTCTTCGAATAATGCATCGTCTTCTATTCCGTCAAGAGCATTACTGATTCTGCATTTCTTAAAGGACTTAACAATTACTTCAGCCTTTACGTCCTCCCAAGATCTTTTTACCCACTTGTGAAATACAGGGCCGCTTCATTCTACCTGAGCCTGTGAGGGCGTGATGTGTCTCTCCTATCCACTTGTTCCATCGTTCTCGCACTTTTTCCATAAATGGCTTATTCACCAATACATCTAAAGGCTGCAATTGGCTAGTCAGTCCACCAGGAATGGCAGCTATCTGGGTTTTTAATTCCCTCACTTTATTCTTTATGGTTTCAGTTCTGTGGGCGCTAAACTGATCCAAAACCAAAAGACAGGGTTTTCTTAAGAGTCCACCAGGTCACCTCGCCCATATGTTCTGTAACCACAGTTTCATTACAGCTTCGTCCATCCAGCCTTTTGGATGAACATGAATAATTACACCCGCTGGAAGTTTTTCTTTTGGATGAGTTTTTCTTTTGAATATGAAAAACAGTGGTAGTTTTGTGCCATCAGCACAACATGTTAGAACTACCGTATAACGGATTTTTTCATGACCTATGGTTTTTATGGTTATTGATTTAGACCTTTAATACTCACAGTCTTGTTGGATGGTACATCAAATGTGAGGGGAATTTCATCCATATTTCCTTTTTGACAGAGCTCAAAAGAAGTTTTCTTGCGTGCATTTTTAACAAACCTATGAAATGCTAGTATTTTGTCTTCATAATCTGCTGGCATTTTTTGTGCAATAGTTGTTTTTTGTGCACATTGATAAGCTTTGCCTTTTCATGAACCTGTAGCACCAGCCCTCAGACCCTGAAAAGTTCTGATTCCCATGTTTTTCTGCAAATCCTTTGGCCTTATTGATTATCATTTTGGTTGAAACACTTATCCCAGATTTCCTCTTATCTATAACCCATGTTTTTACGGCATTTTCAAGTTCAGGCCAAGATGGAGCTGGGCATCGAAGGTTATGTTTTTGTTTTTAGCAGTCTTCAGTTGATCTTCCTGCAGTCGCCAAGTACGTATCATTTTTTCGGTAGGTGGTGGACCAGAATGCCTTGCTGCTGCTCTGTTTCCATGCACTTTGGCGTAGTTTAACATTCCTAGTTTATACTGAATCGTATTGTTTAATATCCTGTTTCCTGTAGTCATATTTTTCAGGGTATTTTTTTAAACAAGCACCGATACCGACACGTTTATACAGAGTAGCACCGATACCGACACGTGTGTCGGCTGAGTCAAAGAAATTCTATGTAAAGAAGAAAAGGCTCCGTAGACGTAATGTGACCGTCGAAACTGTTTGAACTTCGACATCAGCTTCGAGCTTTGGCGCTTTTCGGCGACAGATATTTCACGCATGCGCAAAATAATTATGGCAGATGTAGAAAAAGTTATGTGTGTCTAGACCTTTATCTGGGCTAAAAGTAACATTCAGTATTGAAAGGTAACCTGTGTCTTTCACGTTTAAGACACAGGTAACTTTTTTGAGACCAAATTTAAGAAAAAAAGCGTGTCTTATATGCCGCCAAATACGGTATTTCTTTTATTTAAAAAGTTGTTTAATTGTAGTTGAAATGAACTGATGGCAAGAAATGTTTTCATGCTGTAAGTATCAAGTTGGTGCATATACTTCTTTAGAGAAAATTATTTAGTATAGATTTTCCTATAATGGAAAATATTCCAAATTTATATTTATGTAATAAATGCTAAATGAAACATTACGAAGTTGAAAAATATAAATTATTCAGGCTATAAAAATCTAGAATTATTGATTTTTATTGATCCCATGAAATACTTTAATTCTAATACTTATTTAAATTTGATTTAATTCTTCACAAATATTTAATATTTTAAACTTAATAATTGTAAATAAAATTACGTATTCATAGACATTTAAAATTCTTTTCATTTTTTACAGCTTGTCATGGGCAGTGCAGTTATGGCATTTGAAGAAGTGTGCCCAGAACGGATTGATTTGATTCATAAAAATTATAGGAAGCTATGCAACCTGTTGGTTGATGTGGAAGAATGGGGTCAGGTTGTTATTATGAATATGCTGATACGTTATGCACGGACACAGTTTACAGATCCAAATAAATATGTAAGTATTTTTATTGTTTGTATATAGTAATGAGACAATTACTGCAATTTTAGTCTGGGCATTGTGGAGTAATGGTAATTGTTTTCATAATTTTTGACTGTTTGCAGGATGATGGTAAAGAAGGAGAGGAAAAACCTTTTTATGAATCTGATAATTCTCACAGTAAGGATGATGATGAAATTAAGGATAAGAAAGCTTATGTTATGGATCCAGATCATCGATTATTACTGAGAAATTGTAAGCCTTTACTTCAAAGTAGGAATTCTGCCGTAAGTTTGTTTTGATGGCTTTTGGATGTGTTTAAAATTGTTGTTTTGATTTTTTTGAAAAGTTGGCTTTTGTATGTTAATTTATACCTGGTATTGCCAAAAATATCATTTCTAACTCTAATTCCTTTAAGCATTTGGCAAACATAGAATTTTTCCAGATTCTTCTAGAAAGACGAGATTTTGGGCGGGGTGGGGGATAAGGGAAGTCTGGATGGCTTTTTTTTTTTTTTTTTTGTTCAACATTAATTTCAGATCGATTAGAGCTTAGGCATAATAGCGTTGCATCATATTTTTCTCACCATTTCCCTGCAGGAAAATTCTCAGAACAACACTTTTTTATCTTGTGCTTTGCATAATACATTTACAGTGATCCCTAGTTTTTCGCGGTTAATGGGGACCAGAACCTTCCGCGAAAGCTGAAAAACCAAGAAGTAGGATTTGCTCCTATGAATTTTTGTGTATGCAGATACAAGAATGTTTTAAATATGTAAACAGTATTTTATACATTTAAGACAAAAATTACAACATTATACGTATTTACTTAAAAGTGTCAGTGCTAATTAATAAGGTTAATTACAAAACCTTATACAGTAATAGACATTAATCAACATTGCTTTCTGAGAGAGGCGAAGAGTCTTGTGTTGGTGGTGGAGGAGAGGCTCCCACTTGACTCGTGGAAGCTTTAGGCACACTTGGAGACGCTTCTGCTGGAGGCACTTTTACCTTGGAGAGAAACATGGTGATGCATAGTTGTCTTTGTTTTTTCTTTTCCACAAAATTCCCCTGTACAAGGACATAACCCCGTCAACACGATTGCTGAACTCGACAGCTCGAACCATATTGTCGTCAATGTCTTGTGCAAATTGTTGCGTCACTCTTGCCATGTGTTGCAGATTTTCCAGAGTGAGGCCACGCTTTTAAGTTTCTTTTTATTCCTCTTCGTTTTCTTCCTCACTTGCAGACTTTGTCACCTCAAGGAGGTCTTCATCGGTCAGTGGGTCCGAGTGGCAATCTATAAGGGCGCTGATGTCTTCTTTTGTCATGTTGACAAATTCTTCATTCCTTATGATGTGAGCCAGCCTCACTGCCTTCTTCCTCGCTGAGTGATGAAAAACATGCACAATTTACAAACATATAAGAATAAAGAAACTGAGATTACTGAGCCAAGTAACAGAGTGGAATTTTTTAATTATTTTAACTTTTTTTTTATTATTTTAACTTTAAATTTACTTTTTTACGTATATACATGTTTGTTTAAATCTATAAATACACATATATTTATATACTTTTGGTGTGGCCGATTGCAATCAAAATATGAGGTGCATATCTAATCATTATAGCAATCCTATATACAAAATTTCAACTTTCTGAGGCTACTCTTTTTTCAGTTATACGAGATACGCACGTACACACAGACACCATGAAAAGTTCTCTTCAGAATTAATTTTAAATCAGTTTTATAATTTTTTTGAAGGAAAAGAGTATTTTATTCTGTCCTTACATACAGATAAAACGCAAAAACATCATTAAATTGCATTCGATAGCGGTCAAAATGGATATTTTCATTGAAATATGCTGCCTGAAACTTTTCGTGATTAATTCAATTAATTCAGTTCTCACTTCGCGAGAAGGCAAAAATACATAAAAACTCAAAATATCTATATTAAAAATTACGAAGTAAATCTTAAACACTTATTTCCTCGAAAAAATTCCAGAAAGAATTAAGCATGTTTTAATTGGTAATAATAAATGAATGCATTATCTTTGTTGTTGCGAAGCTAAGTTTCTCTAGATTGGCAACAAATCCACTAGTCTCCTGTTTCAAATGTAAGCATCAATGGCCGCCATTAAAAAAAGGCTTAGCGGCACTTAGACAACTTTAAAATTGTTGATAATTCTAAAAATATTGCATACAGATTTTATTACAGGCATAAAAACCTTAACCGGAAGATAAAAACAACATAATACAATCATTTTTAAAGCAAAAAATGTACAATTTACAAACATATAAGAGTAAAGAAACTGAGATCACTGAGCCGGGTAACAGAATCGTGGATATATATATATTTAAGTTTTTTGGTTCGGTCAATTGCAACCAAACTACGGGAGGCATGCACAATACATGTTATATCAGTCTTATATACAAAATTTCAACGTTCTGGCGCCTAGTCCCATATACAAAATTTCAACGTTCTACTCGTTTTTGAGTTATGCGAGATACGTATGTACATACGTTCGTACAGACGCCACAAAAAATTCTCTTCAGAATTAATTTTAAAGCAGTTTTATAATTTTTTTGAAGGAAAAGAGTCTTTTATCCTCCCTGTATGTATAGATGTCACATTAAAAACATCGTTAAATTGCATTCGATAGCGGTCAAAATGGATATTTTCACTGAAATATGATACCTGAAATTTTTCGCCATCATAATACTTCTTCTTCACTTCATACATGGAAGTAAAAAGGTGACTTTTGTTTGTGAAATGCAAAGAGAGAGTAAGACGCATCGAGTGTCAGGAGTGTCTGTTGTCTTTCCCATTCTGTAATAATGCTTATTTTAGAAGTTACAGCATTACTTATTTTAATTGACCAAGATGTTAAGTTTTTAAATAAATCTAAAATGGCAACCTGTCGTAGTTTTTCCATCATGTTACAATATCTCTTAAATGTTACAATATTCGTATTGTTTTATGATGAGCTGGACAAGAACAGCAAAACAGTGCATTTGAAGGATTAATAATTTTCTGTGACCATATGTTGCTGGAAGCAATCAATTGGTAGAAACTTTCTTCGATACCCTGCGTAAAAGTACTTAGAGGTGTATTTTAGCTGCTCCTGAATTCTTTGAATCAAAGTTAACTATATAGCAATGTCTTCAGGAGGGAGACCTTCTTGTGAGGAAGTCCATGATGTATGTTCAGTTTATGGTATTTGAAGAAAGTATATCTGAATTTTTATGAAAAATATTAGTTGACATAACACAATGGCACACAATAGGGAACTCTTTGTTGCATTTAATAACTGAACATGTATCAGTCCTGAAGAGAAGCAGGAACTCAAAATCCTTCTGCTAACATTAGGGACTGTGAGTAATAAATCCATAGGAAATATAATACAGTCAAAAGTCGTTAATCCGGACTCGTCAGGACTTCAGCAATTCCGGATTATCGATTTTTCTGGATTATAGATCATCAGTTTAAATCTGGTAAGATGGCATGCAGAAATTATAAAATTAAAAATATGAAACCGTAATTTATGAAATAAAGAACAATTATGATCTAAAGGGTATCAAAATTTACAAAAAAAAAAAAAAAAAAAAAAAAAAAAAAAAAAAAAAAGCTTAATATTTATTTGTTTACTTTATTAAACATTTCTTTCAATGTAAGTTGTTTAAGTTGCTTCGTTTTATGTGATAATACTTTCTCTTTAATTCTATAAACAGACAAAATTTCTTCTTCAGTTACAAAGTTCCGCTGTTAAAGTCCTATAATTGCTGTGTCGAGAATACCGACTAATTTGTCAATCAAAATTTTTTCGTTTTCAATAACCTCTGTATCACTTTTTTCTTTATTGGAAGCAAATTATAATGACGAGGAATTTGATTTAAATCATATCAAAGACGGAGTACATTGAGATGAAATACCACATTTAGTAAGGAATTATAAGCGAAATAAAATAAAAACATCTGCACGAAGATAAGGATAGTGCTGACAGATTAACTTCCAATTCATTGAGCGCCGCGGCGTTTCGGCGTTTTCCCCCCAGGCCGCAGAGCAGCGTGGCCGCAGAGCAGCGTGAAATTGATAAACAGATTTCGGAATGATTTGAGAAACGAAGGATATGCCTTTATCCATTTTTTGCAGCAATTCCACTTTTTGTTTAATGGACTTCTAAACATACTTTCGCTTTGTAGATCCTTTACATATTAGTAAATATATATCGGATTCTATTTGACATAATTGAAAGTTCAAGCTTACTTTTATAAAATTGCTCTTACAGTCTGCAAAAAATAATAAGCCGGATCCAATTTGAAGATTCAGGAACAACACAATCTGCAACATTAACTGAATTAGATAATTTTAGCTTAGCTTATACCATCCGTTATACATTAAACGCGCAAGCGTAAACGTATTACGCGCATGCGCACATGCATATTCGCAGAGGTAAAAGTCTTGCGTCAACGCGACGCATGCGCAGAAAGTTTATTGCTTTGAGGTCCGGATTATAGGTCATTCCGGATTATGGGTGTCCGAATTAACGACTTTTGACTGTATTGAAGACATCATGATATCCAAATTTATTTCCCAGCATGTGTGATAAACATGTGTAATTAAAGGCATACTAACTGCAAGAAATATTAAGATGAAATCTTAGAACCCTGCATAAAAGTACTTAGAGGTGTATTTGTTTATTTTTATGATTGATAATAAATATACTAAACTTAAAGCTGAAATATGAATGAATTCCTTGAAAGTCAGAGGCTAAGGAGGCCAGCCAGATCTCTAAATTTAAACCTGAAAGAAAATTCTGGATGTACTACACATGGTAATTTCAAAGCATGCATGTTTTTAAAGAATCCATTGACTTAACAAATGCTTTAGAGCAGGAATGGGACCCATCACTTCAAGTTATAGTTATCACATAACATTTTGGCATTTATGATTTAAGTTTTATCAACATAGTTTCATGTTAATACTTTCCTTTGTCTGTTTTCTTCTCATAAAACTCACTAAAATCAAAATTTTATACAAATTTTATGGTAAGTAGCATAGTTTAAAGCTAGGACATAATTTTTACAAGCAGCTCAGTGGAATTAGTTCCAGATTACTGCCATCGTATTGAAGAAATACTCGTATATTAGGAATTTAGAACTACTAAATGTTTGGTGAAATTCAGTAAATGTTAGAAAGTTATATATTGATATAATGTGATGTAGATCTTAGTCGATTTTTGTTGTTGCAGTCACATCTTAATGTTAACATACCAACAAAGTAGCTATAGTTGTCTGTTGATAAGAAATAGTACAGTTTAGTGTGTTTTTATTTTTAATTGTGTTATCTGACGTCATAGCTAATAAAATTTGGTGCTTACTTATTAATGCAGTCACCTTCTAATCAAGCTTTTCAGAATGTTCCGAACTGTGTCAACTTGTATAAACAGCAATCTTAAGCGTTAGAAGGAATGCTACTACACTGGTGTGCAAAAATTAAGGACGAAGTCGAAAAATTAGCATATCAGCTGAACGAAGAGGCAGAGCAGACAGAAAGACCAATCAGGAGATTAAGTAAGGTGATGTACGGTAGCACATGCGCAGATATGCAGGTAGACGTAATGGGGGAGTGTCTGAGTAGTATAAAGCATGTTGTCAGTGTAAGATCAGTATTTCTGGCAAAGAGATTGCACGCCGTATAGCAGTTAAAATCACACCGAGTTGCTGCCTCAGCGAGAAATGGCGAATAATCAATCTGTTAGACGACATCTGGATGCTTTTACCCGAGGTCGAATCATTGGGAAGTTGGAGGAAGGCCGCAGTGTGACAAGTGTGGCTGCAGAGTTCGGAATTGCTCACAGCATCATTTTACGACTTTGGAGACAATTTCAAACTACAGGAACAGCTATCCGGGGTTTAGTAGTGGTCGTCCACGAGGAACCACGCCCGCAGATTACCGTTATATTGCTGGCAGGGAAGCCGCAATCATCCCTCGAATATCATTGAAAGGGACAGGTATGGAGGTGGCGGTGTTCTCGTTTGGGGAGGCATCATGCTTGGTAGTCGTACAGACCTTCACATCTTCGACGCAGGTTCAGTCAACGGGACCCGTTATTATAACGAGATTCTTCTTCTATATGTGCGTCTTTTTAGAGGCGCTATGGATCCGCAGTTCCTTTTCATGGACGACAATGTATCATGTCATCGCACAGTAGCTGCCGAACAGCTCTTAGAGAGTGAGGATATTGAACGTATGGATTGGCCGGCATGATCTCCGGATCTCAATCCCATCAAGCATATATGGGATTTTCTAGGCAGACGCTTGGCAGCTCGTACCTTACCACCAGTAACGATTCCGGAGCTTCGATTGGCGCTGCAAGACGAATGGGCAGCAGTGCCTCAACAACTCATTGACACCCTCATTCTCAGCGTGGGCAGACGCTGTGAAACCTGCCTAGCAGTCAGGGGAGATCATATCCCCTATTAAAGACCGGATGTTTCTTGCTGGACACCCATCACAGGGATGTTTCGGCCTTCAGTCGCTTTGCGCTCCATGCTACTTTTTCAATAAAGCTTCTTTTTATCCCTCTGATTTCTCTTTTAGTAAGTGTTGCTTACATTACTCATGTCCTTACATATTGGGGATCTTACGGTATTAAATGTGTTGATTTGGAAAGCTTTCGTACAAAGTTATATGAAAAAACCGTCTCGTCCTTAATTTTTGCTCACCAGTGTATTTTTATATGTGATCTGTTAGTTATATTCTAAGTTCCAATGAGTTTTACCAACAATGTGTGATATTTTTGTCTTAAAATCAATTTTAAAATATACATTTGTGGGATTTGCTATGAATGTAAAATTTCTGTAGGAATACAATTGCTGCAAAATTGGGAAAGAGAACAATTTTTTTGGATCTGTTATTAAATAAATCCCCCAAGAAGAAATTTTCACCAGAACAATAAAAAAATAGAGAAGGGGGTGAAAGGAAAATGATTGTCAACCAGCCAGTAAATAAATATAAAGTAAAATATGTTGGTAATAATATGCATATATGTAGTAAATAATACTTTCCAAATAAGTCATGATTTTTTCTTCTGTAAAAACTGCTAAACTATGCCAGTTTGGTTGCACTAATATGTAATTACTTAAAGTTTGGTGTTAGTTTTTTACTTTTAGTTAAACAATAACAAATATGATAACTTGCTAACCAAGCATAACTTTTTATGGTCAGCCAATTAGGTTTGAGGACAAGCAGTATCTTTTTATGCCTTAAAAATTATGTTGTTAGTTAAAACTTGAAATAACAACTTTTGTCCCCCTTTTCCTTCTATTCTCTGTTTAGCACAAAATCCTTTAGTGACGTTTTTGCTAGAATTAAACATAATTGCTTACCTATTAAACTCAAAATTTTAGCTTTAAATCATACAAATTTCTTTCTCACTTACTTTCTTCAGTATTTTACCAAGTAATTTATTTAAAAATTTCTTGGTTAGACTAATTCCTGATTTTAAAACAATATATGTAAGTATTTATGTTATTTAGCCAAATTGCATTCACTTTCATTGAATTATGTTTGAAAGTGTAAACATAATCTGTCCAAGAAAATTGGCTTTCAGTGGGGTGTAAAAGTAATTTTGGACCCCAGCAATAAGAGAAAGGAAAGTGTTTGAAAGAAGGGCTGCATTAGCTATCATTACTGGAAAAATTATTATTCCAATTGTGCAAAATTATCAGCTAAAATTTGTATAAATTATTAAGGATTCCTTAATTATTCTGCTTAATTTTTGTTAACCATTTGCATATATTTTTAAATAGGTTGTCATGGGTGTAGTTCAGTTATATTATTACCTTGCTCCTCGTACTGAAGTAAATATTGTTGCCAAAGCTTTAATCAGGTTAACTCATAGTCACAGGTTAGTATTTGTATTAGTATGTATAAGCAATGAAAATATTATTGTCTCTTGTATTCTTTATTTAATCGTTCTTTTATATAATATGTTTAAACATGGTGGATATGTTCATACTGTTTTATATAATTTATTAATAATGTGATTTTTTAAATAATGAAATATAGCCACAAATTATATTAGCCTATAAAATTTTAACTTTTTGCTTCTTAAATGGAAAGGCTAAGATGATTTTGATTGACTTTTCACTTCAAATTTGTTTATAAAACTTTTCTGTCGCCTAGCGTGTTTTAGTAATTACTTGAGAAAAAGCGACAATGATTAGTCAGTGTGAGGAAAAGTTAATTAATGTTGCAAAAACACTGGTGATATAGAAAAAAAAATCTCATTTAGTTTTTATAATCAGCATACAAAAATGCATGAGAATGAGCATACATTATGCATTTAACAAAATCATCTTTGGTCAGTGTAATTATTAACTAGTTTTGATTAAGAGCACATGGTAATAAGATTTTAGACTTAAATTGAAATTTGAAAAATTGAAATTGAAAAGTTGGCTTTTATTGGACAAATAGAGTGCCTGTGCCTAAGAATGCTTTTACTCAAGAGGGGGGGGGGACTTTTTTTAATGGTTTTGCCAATCAAATAGTTCTTCATTTATTTTAGATATAATTTTACTGTTACTCAAGTGATTCCATTTCTTCTTTTGTGGAGGACTTCAACCATAGTTCCTTTTCTTTAGTTGGAAACGTTTGCAGTTCTTGCAGAAATTTTGATTTCTTTGCCATGTTTGAGTATCTGTTTGGTGAGATTTTTTTAGTTGTTCTTTGGGATCTTCTCGGTAATAGGGAAGTTTCCTCTGTTTTGATTTCTCCTTTTGTTGTAGCATCTGGTCATGATTCTCTCCATTCATTTTCTTTAAAAGGTCATTGCATTTCCTCATTCTGATTAGTTATTTGATGAGTATTGCTTCCATTTAGTTTTCGTTGAATATTACACTTTTTTATGACGATGTTGTTTGCATGTGGCATATAAATTAATATAGCATTTAGTATGATCATTGCCCCCTCCATTAAGAATAAGTTAAGAATTCATTTTTTACAAAATGAAGTACAAAAAAGTATAGAAATTATTTTGAAAATAGGTTAAATTAATAGCTGTTCTTACAGAATACTTTTATTAACAGGAGTAAAAAAGCTTTAACATTTTAAAATTTAACATAAATGTTGTGAACAGTTTGAAGTTTTTTCATTAAATGGCAAGTAAGCAGTCTTTGCTAACTATGATTACTTTGATTTAAAAAAAAAAAAAAAAAAAAAAAATTGAATTAACATCTGACTGTTCATTCAACAGCAATCCTTAAGTGGGATAACTGGCACTGTTTGCTACATTAAATCAAAAAGAGTTTAAATAACAGGAATCAGCAGTAATTTTTATAAATTTGTATAACTAAATTTCAAGGGTTTGACAGTAAATTTCTAGCCGCAGGAATGAAAATGATGAAAGACACACTTGTGAAACCAGTGATACCAGTGAAAATAACCAGTGAAAGTGATGTGATACCACTGAAAACAACAGTCTAGAAAATTTGAGAAAGTTCCATCCAAAAAACATGAATAGGAAAAAGTCGAGCTCTCATAAACTCATTGTAAACCAGTTCACTCACCTCAGATGATTTCACATCCAAGGTAGTGTACAGTAAAGCAAATGTGCTGATTGCTTGGCAAAATTAATTCATATGGAGAAACTGTCCTATTTTAAATGCTATTGAAATACAAAGCCTAAAATCTTCAATTTAAGAATCAGTTTTTCTTGTTGTTTATTTCTTGAAATTTTTGTTCTGCATTATATTTTATATATGAGTTTTTGATTTGAAAGAAACTTTTTGTTTCCTTAGTTATTTATTTTTGTAATTAAATGTTTTGTATGTGGTTGCTATTATTTTAATATTTTTTATGTAATTATAATTTTAATTTATGTTATAAGTATCTGTGCTATACGTTTCCATAAATAAGTTAATAAATATAACATTTATTATTACTGAAAAAATAAAAAATAGTGAGAAGTAAAGGATGCAGTAAGTCTTAGTGATCACCCTCCCAAATCCTGATCACATCAGTGCTTGGGTTTAAGGGAAATGGTGAAGAATCTAACTTTTACACCTGGGCTAGCAGAGTGAAATATCAAAATGAGAGATTGGTTTAAATATTATTATCAAATATGCTCATTTCTTCAAAGATTAAGAATCAAATGTATATTTTCTCTTTGGGATTTCAGAACTTCTTATTTGTTATAAGTTGTTCTTAATAATAAGAAATAACAATTAGAATAATTTAGGGCTTTTGAAGATGTTTTCGAGGTCATTCATTGCACAAATGAATTCCATGATATTTTAATTGGGGTTATTGTTAACTATTTCAGAAATAGGCTTTAGGTTTTAAGGTAGGAGTAAATTTGGAATTGTGTCTGTTTAAAAGATGTTATGTGTCCTTATCAAGAGGAGGGTTTCTAGGATTATCCATTTTGTGACTAGCATTATTATTATGTTGAATATTCATGATTTTGATGAAGATTCATTTTTGGATATTTTGGGAAGTCACCAGCTGCTAAAATATGGCAGAGAATCTGCAAAATTTGATTTTTAGTTATTTCCAGATATTTCTAATTTTTTATTTTTATTTATTTATTATTTTTTAATTTGCCAATTTTCTGAATTATAATTTTAAAATAAAATGTTCCAATGAGAGCTAAGTTTCCACTCAGTCATTAATTGTGTGTGACTTTTTCTGGTCCTTTTTAAGAAAGAGGGGAAAAACCCACAAAACTCTAATGCCTACAGACCAATATGCCTTCTCTCCGCATGGGGAAAGGTGCTGGATAAGCTCATAACACAGCGACTCGTCCACCACCTAGAGTCAAATCATCTCCTAAAGAACGCCCAATTTGGATTTACCAAGGGCAAGAGCACGATAAATACATTAGAAAATCTCCAACAACAAATACAGATAAACAAAGCCAATGGTTTCCACACATGCGTAATTGCACTCGACGTCGCCTCGGCTTTTAACCGATTATGGTGGCCAGGTCTGAAAGAGCAACTAATAAAACTCCAATGTCTGAAGAATCTATTTTGGCTCATCAGTAGCTATCTACATGATAGGGTCATCACATACCAAAGAGATGGAGTCAACATAAGACATGAGTACCATAAAGGGGCCCCACAGGGATCCAACATAGGCCCGACCCTATGGAACATCATTGCAAACACAGCCTTAGAAATAGACTTCGAAGACACTGCGCAGCTACAAGCATACGCGGATGACTTTATCCTGATTATAAAGGGAGGCAATAGACTCATAATTGAACGACAAGCGGCAAAAGCCCTGGAGAAGATCTCGGCTTGGAGTGCAAAATATAAGCTAAACTTTAGTGTGGAAAAAACAAAAATGATTACCTTTCCAAAAGGGAATAAAATAATTAACAGTCCACCCAGGATCAAATGGCATAACCTCCCCTTAAGAAACCAAAGTACGCTCAAATACCTAGGATTCCTATTAGATAATAAATTAACTTGGATTCCACACTTGGCAGAAATAAGGAATAAAACAAACAGATTAATGAACAATCTAAACCGGATCATAGACAATCAATGGAATCTAAAAGGGCGTCTCATGAAAGATCTATACACAAGAGGAGTTGAAAGGATGATCCTCTATGGGTGTCCGATTTGGATGCAAGGGACCGTCAGACAAAGACAGAAACTACAGCAAATTCAAAGGGTGGCACTCCTTAAAATCACAAAAGCGTTTACCACAACCTCCACGGCTGCCCTCCAGATTCTGGCGGGTACCCTCCCCCTAGATCTTAAGGCAGAGGAAGAACGCTTAACCTACCGCCTTCTCCACTTTAAGGAGTCAGCAATTGAAAATGGACTCACAATCCTAGAAGGTTCGGCCTTAGAGCCCCACATCAGAATCTCCTCTTCGCATCCGGCATCCTCAGTTGACATCAAATGGGACAAAAACCCGCCACTCAATACAGACTTAGAAATATTTACAGATGGATCAAAAACCGACTCAAAAGTCGGCGCCGCATTTGTAGTTTTTCACAACGCTCAAGAGATTCACCAGGAACAAATCAGATTAAGTGATCACGCGACAGTATATCAGGCGGAATCACTAGCCCTTAAGCAAGCAGCACTCTGGATAAGCAGCTCTGACTCCCCTTCCCACTCCATCTACACAGATAGTATGAGTATTCTACAAGGACTTAACAGGATAGGATCACAGCCACTACGTCTCTTCATTAAAAGAAATCCTCTCGACCTTAGCCTATACCAAGAACATCTCCTTACACTGGGTAAGAGGGCACCAAGGTACCCAAGGTAACAAAAGAGCAACGCCCTCGCGAAAGCCGCCACAGAACTTCAGCAAATCACAAAAGAAACCCCAATCTCGCTAATAACTGCAAAAAATCGTATCCATGAACACTTCATGTCTGTCTGGCAGACAAGATGGGAGGAAGGAGACACAGGCAGGTTCACCTTTGACATTTTTCCACACGTAAGACTGAAGAGGTTATATTCCAGCCATCTCTCCTTACAAGCTCTCACTAATCACGGGAGATTTCCATCCTACCTAGAGAGGTTTCTACACAAAAACGTTAAATGCCGCTGCGGCTCTTTGGCGACAACAGCAGATGTCATTCACTATCTGTCCACATGTCTGATCACCGCACACCTGAGGACACCACAGAATACAGCTCTTCTCCAAGTCAAAGGAAAACAAGGCTACCTAACAGACTACTAGGGCCAGAAAGAAGCCAGGAGGATTCTTCACTTTCTCACTACAAATTCACGGAGCATCATCTTAGAGACATCAGACTAAAAACTCAGTCCGATGCTTTGTAAAAAGGCAGCACGCCTCTTGTAAATATAGTACAAAGTCTACTAACCTATCTTAACTAATATTCAAGATATCTTTTGTAATTTCATAATAATCATAATTGTAAGTTGGTGCAAACCACCCAAAATGTAACAACATGTTAATTTTTGTAATGTAATTAATTTTAAATGAAAGAGAGGTTGCTACGCAACGACCGGAATGATATGACTGGAGTGATTTTTCCCAATGAGAGAATTCATGAGGCAATTCTCTAAATGGAATATCTTTATGAATGTGAAACACCTGCAGAAAATCTAGTTATCCAACAGAAGATGGTTTTTGAATAATTTTGAGTAAAAAAAAAAAAAAAAAAAATATGATTTTTTTGGACATACATTATTGAGCAATAGGGAATTTACGTGTTTCTTTTTTTCTAATATTTCCTAGCATAAATGAATTCACCGAAGCATGAATAAATCCTTACCTGATGTTGCAGACTCTAATGTCCCTTTCACATTGTGCAAGATTATAATCAGAACTATGATGGCACTGGAAAATCTATTTTCTTAAACTTTTTTAGTTATTGGTAATGAAATTGATTCCAAAGTTTTCAAATATTGTTAGTAAACTTGTTTCCATTTAAACATCTTTTTCAAATTTGGCAGTTTTATTTTACTTTTAGGCATTAAACTTTGGGTGCTATCAAACCATTCATTATGTATAAAATCTCTGAATTTCAATTTTGAAAGGTTTATTAATTGAGGCATGTTGTTGTAAAACTAAATTTAAGTTTGTTGGAATTACAACTATATATGTTTGCTATTTGGATAACTATCTTCACATTTCGAATTAGATGTTTCTCTCTAATATATGTAGATTTCTATATTCCATGCAGAAAAACTATTATTCCTCCAAAATGCATAGAGATAGGATGTTTCATAGGCAGTCTTTTACATATCAATTAATATCAATTACAACTATATATGTATGCTATTCTTGGATAACTATCTTCACATTTCAAATTGGATATTTCACTCTAATATATGTAGATTTCTATATTCCATGCTATTATTGTTCCTAAATGCATAGAAATGGGATTTTTATAGGCAGTCTTAACCACATTCGCTTACAATTCACAAGAGCAGCTCTGAATAGCTGCTGTGTTATTGTAATATATCTATCATATTTTTTCTAAAAAAAATCTTACCAGTTTTTTATTCACCAAGGAATTAGAAAGATGCTGTATCATTCTTCCAAGAAAGAAGCATTTTATTTCATATTCAAATGTGCAAAAATGGCCATGAAATAATGGGCTATAGTAATAAGGAAGGAACACTATGAAACACTATGTGTGACTATGTTTAGGACTGCTGATTATTTGAATAATTAATGTAATATACAATTTTTATAGCATACAAAACAATTTATCAGTAGTCTTGACACTATTTAAATCAAGGGACCATCAGAGATAGATTAAACATTAAGTAATATATGCACTTGCTTAGGGCATCAAGGAGACACCACAGAAAGATGCTTAGGGACTCGGTAAAAGGGGGCACCAGAAAAATCAGATAAAGAAGAAGGAAATGCCAAAGAATGAATTAAAAAATGATGAATGAAGAATTGGATGATCCTATAACACCAGCAGTTGTGAAACAATGGTTATGAAAAAGGTAAATTATACAAATTATTAAAAAAGGCACACAAATGTCTGATTTTGCAATGGAGATTGATTCAAGTGATGGAAAAAAGAAGACGCTTTATAAGAGCCATTGAAAAAACATTCTTAACCATGATACTTTTAGAGAGTTGCATTATTTATTGCCTCAAGCAAAAATCACCAGCTTTTTAAGGGGGGGGGATTTATTAAATAGTTAAAAAAAAACTATCAGTTATTGTTTCCCCCCCTTTAATTTCAGTATTTAGTTTTATTTAAATCATACATGTTTTCCTATTCTGAATTAGACCTTACAATTTTTTTTTCATGGAAATTTAACTTTACAGAATGCGTTTTTTAATGTATTAATGATGTAATCAATACCTTCAGCAAGTGTTTACTGTATTCTCATTAAACAAAAGCACATGTGACTTTTTTGGATCAGAAAATCTCTATCAGGGCCTAAAGATTTTAAGAATAAGTTATTGAAGAGCTTGACAGCTTGCCTAAATTCTTTACATTTTTTGTTTCTATGAACCATTTTCTTCATACTAGCAGTGTTTCATCTCCAACACCTGTCAGTGTGTATACTTTAGGTTTTCATCTTACTAACTGAAGTTTTGCTGACTATTTCAAAATGGACCTTGCTGATCATAAATAACCTTCAATTGTTAGCAAAGAAAATTATAAACATAGCATTCTTGGAACTTAATTCTAATACCCACCCCCGAAATATTAATTTATGTTATAACGTTTTGATTTGCTAATGAAATTGTTTGAAAGTTTGTGTGTATGCATGTGTATTGCTTCATTTGTTTGAAATATGTGAAATTATGTCGGATTTTTACTTAGTTTTCAGGATTTTTGAAATGGGGTTGCAGTCATTCCTAAATATATCTGTTTAGCTTTTTTTATATGTCTTGCAAGACTATCTCATTTCATAAAATGTTTAATATTTTTTTTTTTTTTTTTGTAACCATGATAGTCTTGGAATGTATAACCCCCTTGATGCGGAGGCATTACCATATTGCTATTTAAATACTTTAATCATTTATTTCTTAAGACATTTAAAAACTATTCTTTGATATTTGAATCACATGCATTTTAAGTATTTAATTCAATTGTTCTGTAATTAGAAATGAAGGGCATTTTAAACAATAGCTTTTAAATTTAGAGGTTTTATTTTAATATCTTTTAATTTTGTATAATAATCTAATGCGATAAGTTTTGCAAAATGGAAGTTTTAAGATTTCTGCAGACATTGTTTTCATTAGTATAGAATAAATTATTACTTGAAAAAATGCCAAGTGATTTTCTTGAGTTTACACCTTTCTTGTTAAAGGAAATTAACATTGAATACTTGAAATTTATATGATTTCTTATATGATTTCATATATTATATTGGTAAAATATAAAATATTTTTGTATTTAATATATATATATATATATATACTGCAGCTTTTTCATATGCTTGTTTAATAAAGTACAGACTTTAAAATAGCGGAAATAATTTAATTTTTACATGATCACACTTTTTCAGGGAAATTCAATCTGTAGTTTTGAGTACAATTGCCACACTTACTACTAGATACAAGGTATACTTTTTCTCATCTTTTTAAATAAAATTTGTCTTCTTTTTTCAAAAATCAATAATTTTTGAAACAAATAAATGTTTTTTGTCTACTGTATTCATTATGATATATAGTGCTTTAAATAGTTCTATCTGTATTGACATTTATTTTAAAAATGCATACTACATACATTCAGATATGATTTCTCATATTTTTGCTGCTCGGACAGAATCATGTAAGTGTATATATTCATTTGCTTTATTTTATGCATTAAATTTCTGTAATTTTAAATGATTTTATGTCTTCTAGTTTTTTATTTACATACTCTTATTAGTTTGGTATATTTAATCCTTTTGCCTGTAGAGATGATACATTTTTTTAACTTTGAATTATTCTCATTATTAATTCTATCTATATTTAGTACTTTTATCTGACTTGAACATTTGCTTTGTAATTGAGAAATTTTTTCTGTCATCATGTATGCACTTTCTTCTGAAATATATAGATACTAATTGCAAAAATGCAAAAACAGTACAGGAAATTTCATGTGAAAACTCTTCTGAGAAATGCTATTGCTGTGGTAAAGAATTCTTCAGTGTTACACACTAGCTTTCATAAATAATAAACTATTATCTATTCCTAAGAAAAATCATTCAAAATGAAACATAAACTATATAAAAATATAAATAACTTTTATTCAAAAATGTGTTTATATTTCTTGTTTTGAAGTAAAGTTAGAGACTTGATCGAATTCTGCAGTGAAATTGCTCCCAAATTAAATTTCGAAAGACTTCTGAGAATATTTGAAGATAAGGTCTGTAAGCAGAATATAGAAGTTTTGGTGCATAAAAATATGTAATATTTATGTAATAAATACTTAATTTGAAATGAAAACTGAATATATATATTTAGAGGGTCTTATCTTGAAATATCTTAAGAGTCTTATGTTGAAATATCTTAAACTGCAAACTCAGTATTGTAAAAAATAAAAAACTGTAAAAAATATTGTATTTACTCTTTTATTTTTAACCTTAGTGTTTTAATGCAAGGTTCTGAAGATTTTTTAACCACTTAACACAAGTTAATTTATTTTTCATAATGTGTTCAATTTTCTTTATCCCAAGATTTGTCTAACCAATTTACATTTGGATGAAGATAAACAATTATTGTACGTAATTGAGTATACTTAAAAATAATTTGCAGGATTTTCTAGCTAATGACAGAATATTTTAGACTAGACTAATGTTCCATGCTTCACTATGGGTTAAAGGAACAATTAGTTTGTATCTCACCACCAAAGTATTTGGTGCATGAGCTGTGATTGATGAAGCAATTATAGCAAAGAGCTTCAAGAAAATAGGGATATCTAATGCTACTGAACATCTGAAGACAGACTGAATGGGGCTGAAGACGATAATGACAGCAGTAAAATTGTTTTGATGATGACAACTTGCAAACTGTAGCTGGCAACACAGTAGTTCCAGCATCAGTGAATGATCTGAGGCTTAGGAAATAGCAGTGAACAGCAATAAGAGGGCATGAGATTCAATATATCTAGTTGGATATTATAATATTAATATTACAGTATAGTCTTCTTATTAGAATATCATTTTTTTTAAAGTAAATAATAGCATGATAGGTATTAGTAGTTTATCCAAAAATATTTTTAATTTGTTATACTGTTTCTTTAACGTCTAATTTAAAAATTTGACTTTACAGAAACAGCATAACAATAAAACTTAAATTAAATTATTTGTTAAAAATTTAATTTAAATTGCTTAATTTTTCCTTCTTTATTTTTTGTATAATATAAATATTAAAAAATACACAAGTAAGAACAATATGGAATAACTTTGTTAGATCGATGATTATGAGTTTTTTTTTTACTTTGATTTAAAGATAATCTGAACTCATACTCATCAGATTCTACCCACCTCCTGTAAAAGTCTGAAGTAGGCTGAGTAGGATTTCATTTAGAAGATACGACTTCAGATCTGTCCTCTGAATATCTTTGTTAGGAATCTATCAACGAGTTGAACATTTCGAGATTGAGTATTGCTATAGAGTAAAAAAAGGGTCGGGACAATAATTCTTTCAAAAATTCTTATTTAAAGCTATGATCTTGATACAAAAAAGTTAAGTATTTAAATGATATAAATAACTTGAATTTTATTACTTGAAGTAAATAAATAATAAATAAATAAATAAATAAATAATAATAATAATAATAATAATAATAAAAAAAAAAAAAAAAAAACTAATTTCTGCTTGATTTTTAAGAACACATTCATGAAACTCTTAGAGGAAAGTCCTCCTATAGTTTCATGAGTACCAAAATCTACAATACTCTATGGGAAACAGGCAGTTTTATAACTAATTACGTAGCATTTACATAATTAGTTATAAAACTGCCTGTTTCCCATAGAGTATTGAGAAAATTTCCATAGAGAAAACTGCCTGTTTCCCATGTACAGTGCATGCATATAATCAAATTAGTCATTATTGCATTGCAGTAATATATTTGAATAAATACCTTATTTATATTTTTCAATCTTAAGAAAAAGCAAATATTTTAAAATTGTTCAATATTTGCATTTTTATATTTGGTTCTATGTTTGTAGGGCATGTTTGAGCCATATTTGAAAAGCTTTTTTGTTCGATCAAGTGATCCAACCCACATTAAATTATTGAAGGTAAGCATATCTAATAGATGCAAATATTGTTAGAAGGCTTGTTTGTTCTATCTCAATTCGTTATGACACTGACACTTTTTTTTTTTTTTTCAGTTAGAAATATTGACAAATTTGGCCACAGAAGGAAATGTATCTTTCATTTTAAGGGAATTTCAGGTATGAAAAGAAATGCATTTTAAACTAACATAATTTTAATTAGAAATGTCTTTGTTTTCAGATGGAAAAGAACCTAGATATTGTTTTTTAATGTGACTTATTAGTATGTTTTCTCAGCTATCACATTTTGTTGAATTTCAATAAAATTTGATATTTTAGAGGGTTAGGGAATATATGTTTAAAGTGCATAACATTGGTTTCACCATGGAATATTGCTATTATTGTTGGATTACTAGTGTACAAATTTTTTTATAATTTATTTTTTTATTTATTGTGTCATACTCTACAATCTCTTTTTTCTTAACAGACATATGTCTCAAGTCCAGATATGGATTTTGTCGCAGCAGCTGTGCAAGCAATTGGTCGTTGTGCTAGCTCAATATCTGAAGTGACTGACACATGCCTTAATGGACTTGTTTCTTTGTTATCAAACAGGAATGGTAAGAGAAACATGCTTATTTAATACTGTTTTTCTTTTTCTTATGATTATAATGTGCATTCGTCATTCATTATAACTGAAAAGCATTGTGATTTTTTCTCCCATTCAAGAAACTGTAGTGGCAGAAAGTGTGGTTGTTATAAAGAAGCTTTTACAAATGCAAGTAAGTACACATGCTCATAATTTCATATGTTTTTGCTTTATTAATTCATGAAATAAGAAATTTAAAATGGTTTTCTTGTTTTAGAAACAGATCATTATATAAAATTAAGATCATTTTGGAAAATATGAAATCTTTACATATGATCAACTGCATCTAGTGTATACAAAATATTCTAAAATTTTTCAGTAGTTGTTACTGCTGTTTACAGCTGTTTAAAGTATAGTAAAGTTGTATAAAGGTAGAGTTAAGTGCAATGAAAATAAAATTCACCAAAAATTTGTTTCAGTCATGAATATTCTGATTTTATTGTTATAATAAAAAAATAAAATATTATCTAAAAATAACTGGTTCTTCTATATTAACACCACTATCTCAGAAAGGTACCAGAATGTTTTGGCACACAGTTTATCTGTTAATCATTGTATAATGCTGAAAATCTTCAAAATTGAATTTGATGACTTTTTTTTTAATTGGAAACTGCATTTATTGATGTTTTATGGTTTGATGCCAAAATCTCCTGAGATGGTGTTGCTAATGGGAAGATACTGAAGACTGACGGAATATTTTTAAATAATTTTTTTTTTCAGATAACTGAACATAAAGATATAATCATCCATATGTCACGTCTAATGGACACAATAACTGTTCCAATGGCTCGAGCATCTATTCTGTGGCTTATTGGTGAATATGCTGATAAAGTCACTAAAATTGCACCAGATGTTTTACGTAAAGTAGCCAAAACATTTTCAAATGAAGTAAGTAATTGATAATTCCTTTCTTTTCATATTTTATGTTTTATATTTAAGATAGAAATGTAAACTTAAAAAATTATCATGCAAGACTGGTTTTTTGGCTGTTTGTGAAATTTCTAAAAATAATATTGCTTTTAAAAAACACTAATTCTTTTAATGGCTTGATTATTTCACTTTCCTGGTTGTTAAATAATATACATAATCAACATGTCAAAATCATGACATGTTGATTATGTATATTGTTTAACATGGTATATTAATCATGGTATATATATTATATAACATGAATCTGCTTTCCCCCCTCCCCCCTTTTTTGTTGTTTCCTTTTACCTAAATGCATTTTCTAGATTGCTTTTCAGTGTTCTACACTTAGATATTCACGTAAGAAAATTATTATTTAAAATTTATAACCCAGTTTTCCTCAAAGTATGAAACGTTTGAATGGATTTTTCTTGAAATAGCAATTTTGCGAATTTGTAGTTTTTGGTGTAGTGCCAAAGACTTGGTTTAGCATGTGGAACAAATACTGAATGTATGATAAACCCTTTGATGTGCGCGATATTATTTTTATAACTAAAAACTCTATTCACCCTTTGATGTGCGCGATATTATTTTTATAACTAAAAACTCTAGAAATTGAATATTATGATCCTATAGACAAATAATATATGAATTTAAAAACCTACTCTTGCCCATTGTTCTGTGGGTGGTGGTCGCACTGCGAAACCACCTCGCGTCTAAGACTTTGAAACTTACTGATGTAGTAGGAAAAAAAAAAAAAAAAACTTACCATTTTCCGCGCGTGTTTCCAATAAATGACGAAATTTACGGATTTTTTAAAAAAGTATGTAAGAATTTCATTATATATAATTTTTTACATTATTTTACAAAGTAAATCGTCAGAAAAAATTAAAAAATAAACGTTTATGTAATTTTTCTATAGCAGTGAAAATATAAGTACCTACGTAATAAGGACATTTGGATAAATGAATTAAAAAACTCAATAAAATAAGGATAAAAAAGAACTCATTTTTTTTATTTCAAAGAACAATTTCTTTTGTGACACTGTTCAAAGCATGTTTTGTCTCTTTGGTACATGCATAGACCCACATTGCATGCTTTGCAGATACATCTTGTTCTATGAGGTTTCTTCCTTGTGCTACAAAACGTACACTGCCTGGATTTAAATTTCACTGGTATATGTCCAGCGTTATTTAGTTTCTTTTCATGTGGCACATGAAATTTGTGGTTTTTTATGTTAATCGGGGGGGGGGGGGCCCTTTATCTATATCTGGGTAAAAATAAACATTCCGATTTGAAAAGCAAGCGAACACCATTGAGAAGCAAACGCCAGTGGTTTCAAGGCACAACCACCGAGCCTCTAGAGCAGTGTTTCCCAACCTTTTTTGTGCCATTCCCCACCTAATCCTCTCTAAAATTCTTAAGCTCCCCCTAGCATATACATAATTTTTAATATTTAAAAATTGAAATGTTCACAAAAGGAATTTGAATGATAGCTTTCAGGAAGAAATGACTACGAAATTTTCTGAGCAAACACAGTAATTGAACTTTTAAAACATGGAGAACTGAAATTCAAGAACAAACTCATTTTAGTGGAAGTTTTTTTTTTTTTTTTTTTTTCTATTATGTTAAGTATTAGTAATTTTTATTATTTAAATTTAGCGAGTTCCTTGCACTTGATACTTGCTACAAAGAAATTTTATGTCAGGTTCCAATTTAGATAACTTGAGTCTCAAGTCTCCCAGTTTCATTATACCCAACCAATTTGGGAACACTGCTCTAGAGGATTGTAAGCATTGTGACACAATGCTCTAGTGGCGCAGTGGTCACGCCCTGAAACCACATAGCAAATGCCATATATAGAGAGTTTTATTGTTTTATATATGCAGTTTAATTACTGCAATTTTTTTATTGTTTATGATAGAAATCATGATGTGCGATGACTAACTTTTGAAATTTAAAGTTGTTTATATTAATAAAAGGAAATTATTTTGTCTCATCGAAAACAAATTTTAAAAGACATCCGATCTGAAGTATTAATACCTAAAACATATATGATTCTACAGTCATTTTGTGTTATTTAGATGTAAAAGATCAGTAATCAATTCATTTTCACTCAAAAATTTCGGAAAAAAGAGGAGAAAAAAAATTCGGAAAATGGTGGTTTCAGGGCTCGACCACCGCGCGTCAAAGGGTTAAATGGGTATTTAACATTTTTGTACATCTGAATTTTGTACATTAGAAGTGTTTTCAGAAAGTTGTGCTGTTTTAGATTTCTGCTTTTTAAGCAATTTTGGATATTTTAATAAACATTAATTTAATTATTTTTATTTCGGTGATCATATTTCGTGGGTTGATAAATCTTTATGTTAATTTTTGTGTTTAAAATATTATTTATTTCAATGAGAATATTTTTGATTTTAGTGAATTTTTATAATTGTGATTTCAAATCTATGTATGGGACATACTTATTGTTAAAATGAAAATAATACATCTTTTCTTGAAATTTGATCATATTTAATATTTCAGGAGGATATTGTGAAGTTACAAGCTTTAAATTTGGCTGCAAAACTCTACTTAACCAATTCTAAACAGACAAAACTGCTTGTACAGTATGTTTTTAATCTTGCTAAGTATGATATCAATTACGATATTCGTGATCGAGCTCGGTTTTTGAGACAACTTATTATGCCTCAAGGAGAAAAGATCAGTTATTTGGCAAAACATGCTAAGAAGATACTTCTTGCTTCCAAGCCAGCTCCTGTTCTTCAATCCAGATTTAAAGGTAGTTATTTTATTATGTATTCAGTGTATAAATATTCCTATGTACTCATTTTGTATTGAAACTTTTGCTAAATTGCTTTTATACATTGTTCATTATTTTTAATACATACACTAAAGGGCCATTACATTATGACCGCCCTGTTAATAACATGTAGGATAACCTTTTATCCCTCAAAACTGCCAGCACACTACTTGGCATTGACTCCACAAGGTGCTGATAGATAGTCTGAGGTATCTGGACCAGCTAGTCCTGCAATTCCCACACATTGCGAGGGGGTAGCGTGGCAGCACAAATTTGGCTTTTCAGGTGGGCCCATAAATGCTCTATTGGATTAATGTCAGGTGAATTTGGAGGACAAAACATGACTTGAAAGTCACTGGAATATTTCTCGAACCACTTCCTGATGATTTGACTCTTATGACATGGCGCATTATCCTGTTCGTAAAAACCATCCCCTGTTGGAAATACTGTTGCCATGAATGGGTGAACCTAGTCTGCAGTGCTGTTCATGTAGCTCACAGATGTCAGGGATCGTTCTATAGGGATTATGGTCGTAATGTGCTCTATGAAGACATTGCCCACAGCGTCATATCCACACTGTTTTCTCTCTGTCCAACTGTGATTCTGGGAACCAGTGTTTCGTTTGGAAATCGGTGTATTATACACATGCCTGTCGATGTGATGGACCAGTAAATGTGATTCGTCAGACCATGCAACTTTCTTCTATCATCTTATTCAAACGTGGCAATGCATTTTTTTTTGCCATAGTTAACATACTTTTGGTTTGGTGGTACCATCTATATTCGATAATCAGAACTGTCAATTGTTGGAGAAGGCTCCTTTGGATTTGTTAATGGTGATGCAAGCTCTGTGGCACTAGGGAAAGTTCATGTCCTTTGCTGTTCTGCTAGTGTGAAGGCTCAAACTGAGAATCTTTTTTGCCATAGCACAATAACTCAATTGACTAGGGAAAAATTGCACCTTAGCTGCAAGTATTATGGAAGCTGTTTTTTTTAGTGGTGAGTGAAGTTGTTTCAACCTAAAAAAATTATATTTTTAAAATTCGAAATCTCAAAATTAAGAAAAAGTGCGTATGATAATAGATTAGTAAAAATTTTTGCATAGTCAAATTTTATATTACTAGTTCAAGGTTATCAGTTAGACATTAAAGGTAATATCTTAGCTTATAAATAATGAAATTAGAAATTCTGAAGTTCTCTCTAAATTTCCTAAACTTGAGTAAGTATTGTATAGTCTTAGAAATCAAGAGAAACTAATATGACAGCAGGAGCCTAGTTGTGTAGACAGCATCAGGTACAGGTTGTTCTGTTTTTTTCTGGCCTAGTGATTCCATAGAGCTGATTGTGAAATGGTCACTTTCATATGTCATTGTGTTGTTTTAGTATTTGCCTGTCGGCACCATTGCTTATAGTATAATAAAGAATGCAAAGTCTGCACAATAACATACTGGCATAAAGTATTTTTTACTGATAAATATAGATTGGTTTTTAGAACTGATTTTGAATATTAGCTAATCTGATGAAATTTTTGCACATCATAACTCACTCTGCAAAGATTTCTGAAGCAGATCAATGTAACGGTCAAGGAATTTTGGAAATCATTGTATTGGATGTAATGAGTTGCTGCTGAAGAAAGTTACCGCTGTAGCAAGTGAATGCTACTATAATGGGATGACTTTGTCCCATATGTTTGTTCCAGGGCATCATTGGATCCAAGCTGCTCTTTATGGAGGAAAACGTTATACTGTTAGAGAAGAAATTAAAACCACTTAAATGAATTGACCTACTTGATTTCTTATTCCAAATCCCTTAGAACAAATTACTTCTGAAGAAAATTCTCATGATATTTTTAAGCATCAATAAAGTTTTAGTACTTATGTATTAGTCTGTCGAACATGAAGCTGGCCAAGATCCCACCGAAGTTGCACCAAACATTGCAGCAGAATTCTGAGCAACACTTCTGCCATCAAACAGCCATTGCTGTCAAAGTACTCATCATAATTTTTTCTTATGTTTCATAAAAAAGCATTTGTTGATTTCTGCTATTTTCTTAGGCCCTCTGATTTTACCAAAAACTGTGTTTAGAACAACACTATGAGTATAAATTTCTCGCAGGTGATTGCTCTAGTCTATAACTATTTGTCCAAGTATTGTTTCTCCGCCATTCAGCAGATGTTCTTTTTCTCAATAGCTGTAAATGAACCAGAGTGTGTCGCAAATATGATTCTACAGCCCTCAAATTATTTTAATTCAAAATGCAAAGAAAGAATATAAAAGTAACAATTACTTTATATCTTTGCTTTAAAAGCAAAAAGTGGCTTTTGGAGAATTAACCAGGGTTACATTAAATAAATGCGCAAATGTTGTGAGTGTGTTGTGATGTAACACAGTATCCTGGAAACTCCTTTTTCAGATATATATGTATATATATGTATATGTGTGCATGTGTGTATACCCACATACATATATATACATGTATACATGCATACATGAACACATCCATCCATCCACCCATCCATACATATGTGCTTACACACATTTCTGAATCAGGTCCTGATAACACAAAGAGTACCGTATACTGTAAATATGCTAAATTTGCTTACTGTAATCGCACTAGATCTTGCTGCTTAGTGACAGTTTCATGGTTAATAACATAATATGTAAGTACTGAATTCTTATTAAATAATTGTAATATAGTTTTTGAAAAATAATAATATTTCACTTTAAACAGTAATATATATGTTATATATTATATGACTTTACTGTGCATTGTAAATTTATGCAAATATTTAAAATCATTCAATTGCGCTTTTTTTTTTTTTTTAATATAATGTTGTAATAGTGTGAATTGTTTTATTTGTTGCTTTTAGTTTGATCACTTTAGGGCTTGTTTTGTGTGTAACTGAGTTTTTGCATTATTCTTGTCTAGAACTGTAGACTTCTCAGTTCTGAATCCTACAACATTTTAATTATTAAAATAACTCAACTAGAGTGCAAAATCTGGCCAGATATGTTTCTGATAGGCATTGGTGAAATTTAATGATTTCTTGTGAACTTAGAGACATTTTTCTGATGTACTGGGAAAATGCATTTAAGCCCTGGGACCATTTCTTTTCAGAAGCATGTGCTACATCATATAAATACAGTTGAGAGCCAGGAGAGTCAGTTCTTAATCAGCCTGAGAGTTCATGTTTGAAAGAGAGTTAGATGAATTGTATTTATGAGTTTACTCTGTGAGTGTTATTGGAATCATATGCCATGATTTGCATAACTTCACTTGTCAGATATGGTGTGAAATTGATTATTTCGGTAAAATTTCCAAATTTTGTTTTTTTATAGAAGTAAATACTTTAGAACTCAAAAATATGTGAAATGTACATTGTCTGTTCAGAAAGTAATGAAACTGAATTTTTCACATCAAGCAGAAGGCCAAAGAGGCAGGGTTTTTGAGCGGTATGGATGGTGGGGGCTGTTTAGCTGGAATCTGGCAGAAGTCAGATGTCCTTGAGCCTTTGCAGCACATGGATCAGTTGTGAAGCAGACATGCATTTGAAAGTAGCATTAGGTTTTTTCAAAATGCAGTGGAATGTTGAGCAGTGATTTGCCATAAAATTTTCTGTAAAACTAAACAAATTGACTACTAAAATGCTTGCCATGTTACAAGAAGCTTGTCAGAAGAATTCTTTGTACAAGGATCAGGCATTTAGGTGGCACATAGCCTTCAGTGATAGAAGAGAAGTCATCAGTGGGGAACAATGCACTAGGCTTCCATCAAATTCTCAAACTTTAGACAATGTGGCTAAAATTAAAATGCTTTTGTTTTGATCGTCATATGAGTGTCCGAATGATCGCAGAGATGTTGTGACTCACAAAACCGACTGTGTATCACATTCTCAGGAAAGAACTATAAATGCAGAAAATTAGTGACAAGCTTGTTCCAAGAATTTTGGCCGACAGAAGAAAGAAAACCATGAGTCAGGTTTTGTGTGGGTTTTGTTCTGGAATATGTAACTAGTGATTAATTTTTTGAAACGAGTGATTACTGATGATAAAACATAGGTTTTTCAGTATGATCCTGAAACAAAGAGACAGAGTGTAGAGTAGCACACACCCTAATCTCATCTTCAAGAGAAGGGTTGAACGAGCGAATCAAAACTGAAGTCCATGTTCATTGCCTATTTTGACACCAAGGGAATGAATAGTGCACAAAGAGTTCATGCCACCGGGGCAAACCGCTAATGTAGATTTTTACAAGAAAGTGCTTCAGAGGTTGAGGAATCAAATCACATGCATCTGACTGGATCTTTCAAGCAGTTGGATTCTGCACCATGATAATGCACCAGTCCACACAGCCTTCAAAATGTCTCATTTCTTGGCAAAACACAAAAGTTACAACACTGCCCCAAACACCATACAGTGCTGAACAGTTACCATCCTGCTTTTTTCCTATTCTCTTGGTTAAAATACATCTTAGAAGGTCATCATTTTGACAATTTGGAGAACTTGCAGGAAAACACAGTTGATGATGTCCAGGCAGTCATCAATGGGCAGCTGAGCCATTGGCAACAGTTATATTAATGCAGAAGGAGGCTATTTTGTAGAATATTAAGTGTCCATAAAATTATCATCAAGTAAATTAATTTTTTTTTTGGAATCGGTCTCAATACTTTCTGGACAGACCCTGCATGTTTTTACATTATCTCTGAGCTCTTTTTAAAAAAATTCACATTTGATTTTTGGATGCATGTGTTTTGTAGAATATTAAATATTCATAAAATTATCTTCAATTAAATTAATTTTTCTGAAATCAGTCTCAATATTGTCTGGACAGATGGATCAGGAACTTGTATGTTTTTACATTATCTCTGAGCATTTTTTGAAAAAGTTCACATTTGATTTTTCAATGCATGTTTAGTTCAACAAATCAATCTGCAACTGCAATTCTTATTAGAAAATTTAAGTTTTTAAAGTCACTTACATATTGCACTTTATTAATAAGTGATGTTCTGAATTGTAAAATTTATTCATAAGTTTATAAAAGTTAAAATATATTAAATATTTCGAAATGTTCTTGGTATTTGTATACCGTATTTGACGGCATATAAGACACATCCTTATTTAGAAGGCCACACACATGTAGATGTAGAAAATGTTATGTGTGTCTAGATCTTTGTCCGGGCTAAAAATGGCATTCAGTATTGAAAGTTAACCTGTTCACGTATAAGACGCAGGTAACTTTTTTGAGGCCAAATTTAGGAAAAAAAGTGCATCTTATATGTCGTCAGATACGGTAATTGAAATTGAATAAATGTATTATTGAAAAAATTGTGCTATTTATATATATTTCTTTATGAACTACTATATTTTGGAATTTATTATTGTTTATAAATGTTTTTTTAATTTTTAGACCGTGATCGTTACCAGCTTGGTTCATTAAGCCATTATATTAATGCTCGAACAATTGGTTATCATGACCTTCCTCCTTTTCCTGAGGCTGCTCCTGATCCATCTGTTAGAAATGTTGAAACTCAAGTACCTTGGCAAGAATTTAATTTTGTTAAAAAGAGTAAAAAGAAAACTGTGAAGAAAAAATCTTTTTACTCGGAAACAGAGTCAAGTTCAGCTGAAGGAGGTAAGCTGCTTTCATTATTTTTCAATAATACATTAGCATCTGAAAGTTAAGCATGCAATGGTGAAATCAACAAAAATGGAAGAGTAAAATTTTGATTAACACCAAGTCTGATTTGAAGGTAGCAAATGTGCTTATGCATGAAAGAAAACAAACATTAAATGCAAAGAGGTCGTGTTTGGGTCATCAACAAAATAAAACTGTTTTATAACTTAAATAGTTTTGGTTGTTTGTTCTATAGAAAACGAACAGAATTCTTTTGTAACTGTTGAAAATTGCAATTTGTAAAAAACAAACTGTAATTTTCTGTGTCAAAGAAAAGAGCGACTTTTCTTTGTCAAATAAGGTATATGACTTCCACGGACCTTCTGCAAACTTTAAAGTGAGTGTTGTTGCTTTCACTGAGATGATCAAACATTGCACATGCTACAACGGTTATTCCTATATTACAGCAGTTTCTAACTGTCTGAGAAATAAATATACTGTAAGAGGTGGACATGCAGAGACAGCACTTAAGGGCATCCTAAAAATTTTCAAATGTGTTAAGATACTGGGATTATGACTGTCACTCCATATGAGAAATGTCTTCAATCTCCAGGTATTCATTAACAGTGTTAGCCGAATGGGGACAGTATTATCATCTGTAAGGAGGAAATCAGGACCAACTGTTACAGCATAGAGTCCCAGTGGGATGTTGGACTTTTTCTGATACTTTCTAGCTGTCACAATACTGTCTTCAAAGCTGTGCAGCTGGGTGGAATATCCCTTTGAAATTCCAGCCCACACCATGATTATGGCATCTCTGAATGTGTGGCACTTGTTGATGTTCTGAGCCTGATTCGGAACATAAACATTTGGTACTTGAGCTTGCAGTCCCTTCATGTGAAGCCTTCGGTGCACAGTTATTGGCTGATATTATCTTACCAAGTTATGGAGATTGCATGTCGATTCCATTTGGCTACTATAACAATATACCAATATTCAGGAGTGGTAACCTTTAGTCAACTGGGTACATATCTCCAGAAAACTTGTTTGAAATTGTTTACATGTTTGAGAAATTACCGAATGATCGGTGGCAAAGAAAAGAGTAACATCTTTAATCGATTGTTCTGTTTTAATGCATCTGACATCATACCAGCAGTTGTGAACTGAAGTGAATTGAAACTGGGACAGAGTGGCATCAGCTTCTAGAATGTATGAGAATTAGTCTAGAGTTTTGGAATGTGAAAGAGTGTTTTTGTACCTGTCCTTGTATGTGTTTCATGTGCTTCAAAAATGTGTTTCATGTTTTTGGAATGAGTTTTGTCTTCCTGGATTTTCAGAGCACTCTGCATCAGGCAAAATCCTTCAGAATATTGATATGCTGAACATCTGTCTAATTAGTATATATTTGAATACTCAATCATTGGGTTACAACCAATGATTGTAACATTGGTTGTAATCATTGGTAATTTGTAAACTGTTGAATGTAACTGATTGCAGGTATACTGCATATTGTCAGACAAAATTTACTTACTTAAGCAAATGATGTAAGATTTGGTTAGACTGTTTTTATGAAAAGGCACTTGTTTATGGGTAAGCAGTACCTTGTGCATTTCATATGCCTCATGAAATAACAAGAAATGGTAAGCTTATATTGCTTTTTCTTAAATGTATGTAAGCTGTATATTTTCTGAATGTTGTCATCATATTTTTGTTTGATGCTTAGTCTAAATTAATTTAATATATTCTTAAATATGTAAATGCTGTGTATTATTCTTATATACTTATTTAAGTTTTATGAAAGCACATAAATAAATTAATAATAGATTTGATTTTATGTGACTTAGGAATAAACACATTCTATATAATTATAGGTGTATTGTATTTCACAAAATCATCTTAAGATTGCCCTCTGAAGCAAATAATTTTTATTGGTTTAGCTTCATAAAGTATATCCTATTATTTGTATTATGATTCATGCTTAGTAATTTTCATTTTATTAAAATAGAAATTATAAATTTATTTTATGTTTTGCCTTAGCTGCATCAGTGAGTTCAGCTTCTGAAGCTGGGAAGAGCGAAGCTAGCAATGAAAGTTCGGCATCTGAATCTGAATCCGAGACTTCCAGTAACAGTAAATCAGAAAGTGGTGAATCAGGTTCTGAAGCTAGTGAGAGTGAGACTGAGTTGAAGACTACAAATGAAGACTTATTAGTTCCAATAAAAAATACCATTGACTCAGATGTAAAACCCAAAGTTTTTCCTAACTCAGTGCCTAAGCCTAAAAAAGATGCTATTCCTCAAAAAGCAAAAAAAGTAGAGAAGAAAGAAAGCTCATCTGAAACAGAATCCGATTCAGAATCTGACAGTGATCAATCTGTCTCTTCAGAATCTGAAGAAGAAATAAAGGCATGTTTCTTTATTTTAGTTTGAACTAGGCTTTAGTAAATATCCAAAAGTAAAGTTCAAAATTAGCAATAGACTATACACAAACATGCATAAATGTTAATATTTAGCAAAATTTTTGTTTGACTTTGAATAATTATTCTCTGTGAAGACCACTTCCTTATTTCGTAAAATGTATTCATGTGTTTCTTTTGAAATTAGCAACAAAAGGAAGTTAAATTTTGTATTGGTGGGCAGTTCTTTTTCTGATATGCAAAATTATATTCTAATCTTTTCTCTAAGATTAAAGTATAGAAATATCTGACAAATGAGCATTTGCCAGATAAAATAAAATTGTAAATTGTATAACATGTATTTGCGAGTAGTGAAACAAACTAAATACTCTACATAGTGAAATCAAACTAAATTTCCGTATTCCATTTGAAAACTGGAAAAATTTTCTATGTGTACTGTTAAAAAAATGCTGTATTTTCTGACTGTTTGCATCCTCATTGAAAAGCTGCATAAAAGTATTCATAAGGCAAAGCATTATATTACCAAAATAGTTAAAAATTTACCAAAAAATTATACCAGGTATGCACGTAGTACTTCTCTGTTTCAGCAGTGCACAGCACTGAAGTTGTGTGGCTGCTGAGTTTATGAATTCTCAGATTTTTTTAAAAATGAAAACACATCATTTGGGGAGAGCAAAAAGCACAGCTTTCAAAAGGATTTCTCAAAAGGCAGTGTTTTATAACTGATCTTTCTTCCGTTTTAAATTATAGTGCTTGATTGCTCTTATATGGATTTCTTAATGCATCAGGTTTTAATAATGGCTATTGCCTTTTGTGTGTTTCCTTGGCAAAAAGTTAGTCACCGAAAAGTTCATAAATGTTTTCCAAAATCACTGAGTTCACTACTTTTTAATGGAATAATTAGAAAGTACCAAAAATACTTTCACCCTTTTTTTGAATACTAAATTGTTAATGTGTTAATTTAGTGGCACTTTTGTGTATACATCTATATATAAAATAGAAATGAAATTCAAAGATAAGAATGAATTTCATTAATTACATGCCAAATACTGTGTCAAATATTGAGATAAATTTAGCAAATTTATACAAAAATTCTTTTAATTCTTCATGGCTGACAGGCTTAGAAAGCAAACGGATGAAATGAGAAAACACAAAGTCATTTAACGAGTGTACATTGCAGTTAACTGAAAAACAAAGGGAACAGATCATGTAAGACTTTAAATGGAACATGTAAAACTGTTTTCTTTATCAGGTAGCAGACCAATAGTTATTTAACGTGCTCATTTTATTATTTAATTCTTTAATGTAGTTCAAATACAGCATATTTTTTTATGATTAATACAGCAATTTTTTCCAGTGTCTGGCTATTATAGCTGATTTTCTTTATTTTTTCAGGATTTTATGAGTTGACATTGTTTGTTCTGATGCCTTCAGAGCAGTTTTTGTCTGAAATGAATTTTAGTTTTATTTTAGTTATTGGCTTTAAAGGCATTCTCTAAAATCTGTAAAATTCTTCCAGAAATAAATTCAGAAAGCTGGTTGATTATATGAAGATGGGGTCAGCTCTGTAATGAAAAGCTACAGTATCTTTTTATTTTTGCATTAATTTTAATTTCTGTTTTTCTTTTTATTATTATTGTTTTATTTTGTCTTTTGCCTCCTAGGCTTGCTGTGAAGAGTAATTCCCCCCAAATAATTTTCTTGTCATACCATGAATTTTTTTGTGAAATGTTACTGTGATTTTTAGTCACATTTTGTAATGATTTCATGAGATAAAAGCTATAAATGCTATCAAGTAAACCACCAAAATACTAAATGAAATAAATAATACATTTTAAAATTCAAAAGTACATTATAAGTACAAATTATAAGTGTAGAAAGAGTTACTTTACTATATGATGCATACTTTGGACTTTCATCTCCGAGTCATGTGTGGATGGGGTAAGGATGAGGCTAATAGATCTTCACAAGGGTAAGGGTGAGTCAGTCATCATCTGGCTCACTCTCTGAAGAATCCTTATTAAGTGAAGAGGAGGAAGCTGTATGAGAAGTGGAAGATCTGGGCAGTCCCCCCTTTTGTCATAAATAAGATGATAGCATAGTATGGCACTAAAATTAGTTTTTTAAAAAAGTGAGGCCTTGTCATGCTTGGAAAATGCTCATGCCATTAATTTTGTATCAAATATTTTAAGCTTTTCCTCTCTTTTTTGATGCTTTTCAAGATGCAACACATTTTTGTAGTCAGTTCTTTTCCATTTGAGTATAGCATTTATTCAAAACCCTCTTCCTGGAAGTTTACATCAACATCAATTGTTTACCAATGTCACTGGGGCTTGTTTGGTGTCTTAAATAATGGCGCTACCTAAGGGAAGTGATGCCTCCATGGAAGGCTTTTTAAGGAAACTGGCTTATATACATGTTACACATGGGGGGGGGAGGAAGCCCATACAGACATCTCCACATATATTATGGATGTTCTGTACGCAGATATAAATATTGTAATCCTTTTAAAAATGTCATAAAGCGATATCAAGTATTTTGTCAACATTTTAATTGCTTGAGGGTATGTATGGCATGTATATATTATTTTTTAGAATTGTAGTCATCTGTGGTCCATTGTTTGTAAGATCACCATTGTATTAGGTGGTAAAAACACAACTTTGTCATTTAAACGTTAAACAATCATTTAAATATTGTATATAGCCGAGTGCATTACCTGTGTTGATGAGAATCTTGAAGGGAATCCCTTTCTTCTTGCAATGCAATTTGCCTTAGATGATGAAAGAACCATTCCTTGAACATTTCGAGCATCAATCATCCCCATTATTCATTCAGATAATAGGAAAAGAGCTTTTATTTATGTTTTTCAATACCCTGGAAACAGCAACACAGTAAGCTAATAAAGGTTTTAGTTTAAAGTAGTTTTATTTTTGACTTTAAACGAATTTCACTCTTTAAAAACAAGTTTGTTTGGATGTGCAAAAGTTTGTAAAGCAGAGAGTGTCTGCATATATATATTTAGAAATGTAGAGAATATTATTGAGTGTGCAAAGATAAAGAATACTACAGAATGTTTTATATTTTATGTTATATATTATGTTCTTTTAAGTGTTTTTGTAAATATTACAGTAACTGGTTTTATGTTCATATTTGTCTCTATTTACCATCTTGCATGAGATTTTTTTTAAATTTTCATAGCTGCTTAGTTTAGTCAGTTCTTATGGTGTATTAATATCTAGGTAATATGTTTAACACTTCTTAATTGGTTTAGAGATAATTATATTAAGGTTATGGGTTCAAAGTGAGTGATTATGATTGAAAAGTATAAGAAGGTAGATTACTGTCTGATTACTCTCATCCTTCTAATTTCAGCATTCAGTGAAATTGCCATGTGTTTGGTGCATTTTTGAATATACATTCAGTATGGCACATTATGTACGATTATACATTATGGACACATTTTATTTTCCAAAATACGTATTAGAACCAGATTAAGACAGGATTAGTTATAGAAAGGCTTCTTAGTCGTATTCTTGCTGATATCTGTATGCATTATTATGAATTCAAATTGTTTGAAATGTTAAGCTTCCTTGTGTGATTCTGTTGTATTGACAATATCTTTATTCAATTTGATGGTGATAAAGACGATTTAAGTATTTTTAATAATAAATTCTACTGAACATGCTATTCAATTCACTTTTGAACTTTAAACGTCCAATTCCCTTCTATTCTTTGGCATCTTGGTCACATGCAGCATATCCAACTTCAGTACTGTTTTAAACCTTTTATCTGTTTGCCTTCTACAACACTTCATGTCATTCAACAAAATATAAGTTAGCTTCATTTTATTCCTATTTTCCAAGCACTTCAAGCTTGGTTTGATCAAGAATTAAACTTCTTAAAAGCAATTGCTATTGGCAGAGGCTTTTCACCTAATATTATTGACTAAGGAGTTAAAAAATTTGCATCTCAACACAGGATATTTGACAGGAACAGGAATTTGTTTTAGGAGATTATGGATTATGGAAATTCTGTTGAGATTCTTTTCTTTACATTGATTAGCTAAAAAATTGCAAGCGTTTTACAGAAATTCAACTTTCAGGTCTTTTTTTCTTTTATTAATACAATTCACGTAGTTGAGGGATCCCATTCTGGATATCTCCTGGGGTATGTACAGGATTTCTCGCTGTTGTGGTTTAATTAATATTGGTCAAATTAAAAGAGCTTCAAAGTATGTTGCTAAGGGACATGAGATATATGTTAGGAAAAAAGAAACATAATCCTCTGTTATCCAAATTTGTTAGTAAAAAACATTGCATTTTCCATTTTTCTGCAGCCAAAATTACTAATAAAAATCTTCCATTGGCAAATTAGAAATTTTAGATTCATGAATGTGCATTTCACATTAATAATAAGTCTTTCTGTTCTAGTTAATGATCCCAATGAATTCCAATCCATCTTTTCCCACAGCTAAGGTGAAGGCTTTAATTTCATACTTGTTTAAACTCTCTTAATTTCATACTCAGTTTATACTTAAATCTCAGCTTTTAAGGTTTTAATTTTATGTTTCTTTTAATTTTTTTATCAATACAGTACAAAGTCTTTAATCTGGACTCGTTGGGGCTTCGGCGATTCCGCATTAGGGGTTTTTCCGGATTATAGATCATCAATTTAAATCTGGTAAGATGGCATGTAGAAATTATAAAATTAAAATATGAAACCATAATTTATGAAATAAAAAGCAAATTATGATTTAAAGGGTATCAAAATTTACCCCCCCCAAAAAAAACCTTAATATTTATTTGTTTACTTTATTAAACATTTCTTTCAATGTAAGTTAAGTTGCTTCATTTTATGTGCTAATACTTTCTCTTTAATTCTATAAACAGACATAATTTCTTGTTCAGTTACAAAGTTCCGCTGTTTAAGTCCTGTACTTGCTGTGCCGAGAATACTGATGTACTTATCAATCGAAATTTTTTCGTTTTCACTAATCTCTCTGTCACTTTCTTCATGCCTTTATCCATTTTTTGCAGCAATTCCACTTTTTGTTTGATGGACATCGAAACATGCTTTTGCTTTGTAGTTCCTTTGGCGGCTCCAGAATCAGAAACTCTTTTTGACATAATCGAAAGTTCAAGTTTACTTTTTATAAAATTGCTCTAACAGTCTGCAAAAAATAATAAACCGGATCCAATTAGAAGATTAAGGAACAACACAGTCTGCAACATTTACTGAAATAGATAATTGGATAATTTTAGCCTAGCTTATACTGTCCATTATACATTAAATGTGCATGCATAAACGTATTATGCACATGCATAGACGCATATGTACATGTGTAAGGTATGTACATGTGTAAGGTATGCACATGTGTAAGGTACCTTGTGTACATGCATAAACGCATTATGCATTTACGCATGCGCAGAAGTTTGTAGCTTTAAGGTCTGGATTATAGATCATTCTGGATTATGGATGTCCGGAATAAAGACTTTGTACTGTGGGTGGTGCCAATAGCTTTACCTTCATTCCTTTCATTGTTATCAGATGAGCACAGGGCTGACTCTCTTATCATTTGGGCTCCTGAAGATGAAGAACAACATTCTGTATTTAAATTGTCAAAATTAGTTCTGCAAATTATTGAATATTAGGCTGATTCTCCATAATATTTCCAATAATACACTTGGTTATAACTAACCCACACATGTGTTTGAATACTTTGCAGATTTACATACTTTATATGTAATCATAATTTTGCTGAATAGTGTCCATTAGCTGTAAAAATGTAAATATCAGCCATATAAATTTTTATTTCTTAGATCCACATGTTCCTTTTTTGTTTCATGTAAAATATTTATTTTTTATCATTAATGAACAGAACAGTCTGAGTCATGTAGGAATGTTTTTCACCAAAAGTTACCAATGAGTTGGTGACTTTTTGTGGGGTTGAATTTAATCAAAAAGTAAAATAAATTTAAAATTATTATCTTTATACATAGGAATTTTTTAAAGATACAATATGAATGAAATAAAATTTATGTCTAAAACTTCAGAATGGAGATTATACTATTTATTTATTGTGGAAAACTGTTTTTAGTTGTTGCTACTACTCTGTATTTACCATATAGGGAAGTAACTATGTAGTGAATGCTTATATTATTTTACTAGCTTTCATCGCACACACACATATACACACACACACTATGTTGCAAAAAGATACATGCACCCAGAAAAAATTGAGCCACAACTACAAAACACAGCATGCAAATGTGGTTTGGCGAGTTGTGTATGTGATTAAACTTGCAGCATCATTAAGCATTGTTGAACGATACAGCACACATCTGAAGTGGGCAGCCATTAGAATATAAAAAGGGCAGGTGTGGCAAATGATGAGCAATCACAACCACACTACTGGCTTGGATACATGACATTGTAATGAAATATTCTTTTAAGACATACTTGACAGTGTTACAGAAAATTGTCAGACTTTTCAAAGGGGTTGCATCATAGGGCTTTGTAATGAAAGATGCTTTTAAGACATACTTGACAGTGTTACAAACAATTGTCAGACTTTTGAGAGAGGTCACATCATAGGACTAGTAGAGGTTGGTTGATTAACAGGTGGATAGGCCAGCATATTGGTTGAAGCGATGTTGCTTTTCGTCGTTAGAACCAGTGGCTGAGCATAAGGCATAGTCAACTGTCATAGTAGCTTGGGACGTTCCTAGGACATCAGTGTTCAAGAAGATATGTTTATGGAGACTGAGCAGCACCACAGCCAGAACACTGGGGAGTCTGGGTTGCAATCAGTTGGGACAGCCATTCACCATTATTTGTGCTGTGAAGTACTCATGACTGCTCACATGTACGCTGACAACATTTTGCAGCTGATCGTACTGCTTATGTTAGCAGAGTGTCCAGATTCTGTTTTCCAGCAGGGCAATGCTTGGCCACATGCGGCACAACTTTCCCAACAATGTCTTTGATGTGTTAATGTCTTTGACTGGCCTGCCAGGTCTCCAGACCTGTCACTTATTGGAAATGTTTTTGACATGTTGGGCAGGCAAATTCAGCCATGTACAAATATGTCCCAGCTCACTGACCAACTGCTCCATTCGTCGCACAGTCTATCACAGAGGGACATTGGCAACTTAATAGACCCCATGCCCAACCAAGTAGTAGCTTGTATATTTGCCAAGTGTGACTTTAACACCTACTGATTTTCACATTCTTTGTATTGCTACTTGTAAACAAATAACTTTTTGGTCCTCATATTTGTTCATCTGTTTATCTACTTGAACACTATATTACTGCTGAGTTTTGTAGTTGTGGCTCAGTTCTATCTGGATACATGTATTTGTTTTGCTACAGAGTGTATATATATATTATATATATATACATGTGTGTGTGTTTGTATTTGTCTGTTTTATTAATTGCTGCCATTAATAAATAAAAATTTTATTTTAAACCATAATTTAGGACATAAATAAATTAAGAACTTGTTTAAATGAATGTATCGGATGATATTTTAAGGAATCTAAGTATTGATTTTTAGGTTATATGTGATCAATAGCTGCAATGGCAAAATTTAGCATTTGTTTTTGGTATAATATCAATTAAAAAGAATTGAGTCAGTTTATCATGACAAAAGCAAAAGTCTGCCTTTTTAGGTGCAAATAATGATGCATTGACGAACTTAATTCTCTTTTGTCTATGATTGCTTGTGTCACTCACTGATACATCTTTTTTTGTCATAATTTTTACAACAGCTGTTGTCACTGTAATTAAATATATTGCAATATCTTTATAAATCTCTTTGTGTTCTAATTGGATTTCTTTCTGCAGGTTTCAATAAAAAAGAAGAAAGCCACTAAAGAGAAGAAAGAAGTAGACTTATTGCTTGATCTTGATGACTGTAAGTGTGTAGTTTTTATTAGTTGAATTTAAATATTACCATATAGTTATCAGCAATTATGAAATTTTGCATGTCACTTTATATGAATAGACTAATTAAACAAATTCAAATAATATTCTGTGTTTTTAACCTTTTTTTCTTATTTATTGTTTTTAATTTGGTATATTATTTGAATAATTCTGTAGTTTCAACTACAAGTCTTCCCAATCCAGTAATTCAGCCTGCTGTATTCAGTGACATGTTAACACCAACTACAGATATTTCTTTAAAACTTTCTGAGGTCCAAATGCTGGCAGCTAATAATTGTTTACAAGTAAGATGAATTTATTATATTCTTAGGCATAAAGCATATGTTCAGTTTGCTTATTCCAGAATTTTACAAGTATTATGATAAATGGATTCTCAGTCATAGGAAGATTATATTATTATCATATGATTGAAAATTGGGTTTAGGTTGTATTTGGTTGAACATTAAAATTAGATATTGAACTGATTTTTCAAACATAAAACTAAGTAAAAGGAAAAATAAACTGTGGATGAAAAATTTAAGTCATAGTTAAGTCTTAAAATATAAGAGGAAATTGTAATAAAATTGTATGTGTTTTCATATGACCATTTAACAGCATAGAATTTTTATGTATTTTTAATGCAACCAGCAAAAATATTTGCATAATTTTAAGTTAGAATGGGAATGATTATTTCACATGTACAGTAATGCATACAGTCATTATTCAAGTGTAATCTGATGTCCTTTCTGACAATACCACCCACCAACTTTTTGTCAATTTATACAAATGATGATAAATGGTTCATCAGATTTCAAAATAAAAATAAGCATTATATTATATGACATCATTTTTCAAATTTTAATATTGGCAGTATCAGTGTTTCATGTGTAGTCAGTTTTCTTGATATATAAGGTGTCAACTTGATTCAAGCATGATTGATTAAAGGATATGTAACAATGTAAGGGTGGAGTATTTGGATTCCACGGCACATTTTGTTACATTTTTCCAAATACCCACAGCAACTGGAGCTCCTGTATTGTTGCTGGCAATTGAAGCATATGAACATTGTCTCTATTTCCCCAAAAGAAAAAAAATCAGTAGGTGTAAGGTCAGGCTAAGTAATTTTCCATTGTTAACCAAGCCAAAAACATTGGAGCTCATCATTCAAGTAGTAACATGACTTTAGTATGGCGGAAAGTAGAGTCACAATTTGGTGGGATATGAAATTTTCTGAATCATCTTTAATTTAAGAAAGTAACTTTGGTTACAAGGCATTACCAAGGTATGGCATTATATATTGTATCTTAATATTTTGCATTTGTGGTTATTTTCTTTGTGTTTTGAAGAGGGGACAAAAAATGGTCTTACACTTTGTGAACTGATGTATAAGATGTGGATTTGAATAGGCTGCAGGGGATTTAAGTGTTAATAATGGGTTGTAGAGGCCTTTTTCCATCCGATGAGGATTTGTATGGTCCTTAAGAGTCTTTAAAAGTTCTTAAATTTTGTTTAATTTTTTGGTCCTTTAACCGTCTGGCTGATTATTCCGCGATTTCCACAGGCAACTCAAATGTAGGAAAATTTGCTCATCCCATGATTTCCACAGGCATATGTTTTCCTTTCATTGAGGAGTGCATCCTGTTTTTTCCCCGTTTAACCATTGAAATAAATTATATACAGTATTATGTGTTTAGTTTGCATTTTGGCCAACAGATATTTTTAGTTGTTCACTAAATTGCGGCATTTGAAGGCACATGGTATTAGCGCTCAAACTTAACTTTTTGCCACTTTTTTCTTACAGAAATGGCTGCTAGAAAATGTTCAGCTATTATCTTGATTATTTAATTATTGATTAGATTAATAATTAGCATACTTGTCAACCTATGACCCTCAAAAATCGGGAGATTTTTTTAAGAAATCAGGAGATTTTTTCGTACAAATGTTATGAACAGTGGCAGATTTTGCTTTCGTTAAGAAAGAAACTTCATAATTTTGTTCATAGCAATTGCCACGTAGGCCTGCTTTCGCTAATAAAAGTTTTTCTAATGTGTCATCCCTAATATTAGATCTAAATTTAGTCCTCGTTTTCGCAACAACACTGAAAATCCTCTCGCACTCTGCATTACTATGGGAACTGTCAAGATGACCAACATAATTCTAGACAGTTCACTATATTTTAAAATTCCATCAGCACCTTTCAGTTTTCCAATTAAACTCACTGTGTGTCAATTCTAGCTGATTTTATAACTTCATCCAAGTTTTCTAATTGTAAACTACAAAATTGCAACTTCAGTATTTTAGTAGCAACATCAATATCATCATCTTTCATGACTAAATGAAGTAACACAGGAAATCTGTTCAAAAAGTACCTTATATCAGAAAATGATGCATTTGCTAGAGCAGAAACATCACAAACTTTAGCATGCAAAATCACTTCATTCATGACTGGAAATTTATGCAATATGTAATCACGTACTCGACAGAAGTAACTTGTAACATGAAGATAAAACTTATTTTTGTCTTCTTCTGAAAGTTCTTCAACTACTTTTGTAGTTGCAGCTCCTATTACCAAATCTTGATCTTTCTTCTGATTTTCTATTTCACCATAAATCACATCATATATAGAATTACAAGACAAAACACAGACTGGTTTTACAAACTTTGATAAAATGTCTTTAAACAGATCATAAACATTGATTGCAGAACATAAATTAATGGAATTCTGCTTTGTAGAATTGTGTTAAGAACATCGAATGATGGCAAAATGAATTGTAAAAAAAAGCAAAAAGCTTTGTTAAGGTCCGAAGAAAAAAACATAAATATTCATTCTTCACAAGATAAAATTTCAGTAATCGGAAAATGTTTTGTGTGTTGAGCAATTTTTTTATTTTGAGAGAAATTTGTATCAGCTTTATGCTTATATTTTGCAGTATTATTTTGAGAACTGCCAGTTGAATTGCTGAATGATACAGAAATTACTTTATTTTTCTCAAACCTATTTTTAACAAGGGAAGTAGTAACTACATCTCCATTTACTTTAGGTATTTTATAACTTTCAATAGAGCCTTTTATCTTAACTCTTGAAGCATTTACTTCTTCTTTAAAAAATGCAAGAAGTGGGTTCCATTGATCGAGGATTCTAGATAAGCATTTCTTTAAAGACAGCCAGCATGTACACAAGTTTCAAAATTTTTCTCATTTCAGTATTCTGCAGCTCTTGGAACTGTTTCAATTTTTCCTTTCTTTTAGAACTCCTTTCAAGATAATAATAAATATCCACAATGTGTTCATCCGCATTTTATTGGTAAAGAAGCTGCCCCCTTTTTAGCTGCTAAATTTAAGAGGTGACAGGTGCACCTCATAATCTGCAAATCTTAATTTGCCTTTCTTAAGATGCCTACAACACCAGTCTTTCTTCAAGCCTACCATTACTGGTGCATTATTGGCACCAAGTGCTAAGCAATTATCCAGCGGGACTGCATTTTCTTTTAAAGTTTTAATAATTAGCTGTGCTATATTAAAGCCTGTCGAATATCCTTCTAAAATGGGGACAGTAAACTGCACTCAATTTCTGAAGACTCTGGATTAAAAAAAGAAACAACAATTGGATACAGTTTTGAATCGGTATTATTGCTTCCATCCGTAGGGAGGCAGAATGGAGCTGTTTTAATGCAATCAATAACAGAAGATTTATTTTTCAAACCCATTTCTTTAACAATTGCACCTGTTTTGGTCCTTGAACTTGAGTTTTTCTTAGCGATTTCACTGTCAGGAAACATTTTTCTAAATAAAGCTGCAGCGTGATCCGATGCATTCAGTGGCAGGTTGTGCTCCAGTAAAAAGGCAAAGAACAGACATTCTGCATTACTCACTTTTTGGTCTTTTATTTCCAAAGAAAAATTTAATTTTTCGTTTTTTTCAAAACAACTCATGTTGTTCTTGTGTTTTTGTGTACACATATGTTTGAGAACATCCGCCCTTCCACCATGCGAAATCAAAAAATTGCAACGACAGATGGTACACATCGCAAATTTATTACATCCTTGAGGAAATAATGGAAGGAAAGTCAATTGTGTACGATTTTTGAAACATGGACGAGTATTTCACCTTTCTCGCAGACATAACAAAAGATGATAATTTCTAAAACTTTTTCACGAAGGCACGTGTACTCACACAACTCAGGACAAGATGAACAAAATAACGAAAGAGCATCCAAATAACTGCCTTGAGCTTGCTTTGTGCTCATTGGCTAATATATGCCAGATGACAGACACGCACTGAAGCTCGATGCCCATTGGAGAACTGGAGAACAACGTTACTGGATACGTATGCTGTCACTCACAAAGCAGAAATTCTCATCTGATTCGTAAGGTTTTGTTTTAGATATAATCTAGAGAAAATTCAGTTGCTTTCAGACGTCCAAAATCACTTTTTTTTTTTGTTCATATAACAAAGTATTAAGCCAAGTTCCATAAAAATCGTGAGAAATATTAAGAATAAGAAAAAGTTGGGAGAAATATATTGTAAATTGGGTTGGCGGGAGAGCTGTCGAAAATCGGGAGTCTCCCGCCTAAATCGGGAGAGTTAGCAACTCTGAATTAGATTGATTATTAGTTAGATTTATTAAATCTGATGCAAAGACTGCAAAGTTTGATCTGTATCATACTAAACTGCATTTTTAAGGTAATTTTCCCTCAGCATTTTATATTTTCTTAAATTTTATACATTTTACTTTTTTATTATGGAATACATAATAGAAATTAACTGTAATTCAACTAAAATTTATTTAAAAAAAGATTTTTGTTTTGTGATAACATCCGAAATTGGTTTTTCTGGCAACTTAGTTTCTCATGATAAAAATGTATATAAAAAATATTTTCTAGAAAGAAAAAGTGCATTTTTCAATTCTTCTATATATAGAGATTTAAAATATGGGGGGTGGGAGAACGCATTTTTGGAAGCAATTTCGGTCCACAAATTGAGCAGTCAGAGGGTTAAAAGTCCTTAATTTCATCTTTTACAAATGCCATTTTGAGTGTGAATTGGCATTTTGGAGGAATATTTTTGGCAATTCACTGACATATACGGTTATTTTTTCAATGGGTGAATGGGTTATAATTTGTTCCTATTTCTAATATAAATGATGGGATTCTCGAGTTTCTCAGCAAATAGTAAAAACATAAGCATTTTGAAATTATTTAATTTTTTCTAATGAAGAGCTCTTTAACAAATTTTCGCTTTTGAAGATGTGAACCCTTTTATTAAACGGTTCTGAATTTGGCGACTTTTCAACATTTTGGCAACA